GAGGTACGGTGCGGCAGGGGCGCGCCGGCCCTCGCGCGTCGTCGTCGGCGGCGACTCGGCCGGCGGGAACCTCGTCGCCGGCGTGCTGTCGCACCTGGCGCACCGCCACGCCGAGATTGACGACCTGTCGCTGGCCGAGCCCCTCGCCGCCGCGGTCATGATGGCCCCCTGGACCGCCCTGGACGGGCAAGTCCTGCTGAGCCCCTACAATGGCGCCGACGTCCTCGATGCCCCGGCCCTGAAGTACTGGGCGGAGAAGTACATGGGCGCCCGCGCGCCGGACTACTACACCGACGCGTCGAGCGCGCCCGCCGACTGGTTCCGCGGGTTGCCCGTGGTGAGGATACTGGTCTTGGCGGGCCAGAATGAGATCCTGCTGCCGAGCATAAACGCCTTTGTCAAGACCCTCGAGGTGTGTTTCTTCTTTTGGATGAGTGTGGCCCGGGACGGTGGCTGACTTGGATTGACCAGGCTGGCTACGGCCCCGTCGAGTTTTACGTCGCGGAACGGGAGGCGCACATTGCGCCCTTTGTGAACCTCAACTTCTATTGTGGTGCGCCCACGGGGCAGGGCGACAAGTTGCAGTCTTGGCTGGACGCTTGGCTGGACGAGGTTGTTGCTTCGAGGAGTGAGACTGCCCATTTGTGACCTGGCCATGGCAGTCATGGGGATTAACGACCGGTATACATGGGCTTTTTTTTTTCTTTTTGGGGGGGACCAGCATGACGAATCATTTGGGCAAGAGCGTAAACTGACACCCCATTCACCTACTTCATGTCGGCTTCACCACATTCAACTTTGCTGCCATGTGCTCCAGTAACGTACACCTGCGATACCGAGGTATTCGTTCGAGAGCGATACGCATACAAAATAGTGGAACATGAATTTTGATCTTTTATACCGCTCAGCAGCTCCCCGGCGTAGATTCCCGACGACTCCCCCCTCCAGTGACTGTGAGCCGTCGCTTCGTTACGGAATTCAATCCATGTACAAGATACTCCTGATAGATGAGCCTTTGCCGTGCTCAGACTGTCGTTAGGCATCAACCCCATTGTGCGATTGGTGGGCGGCATCACCTCGTCTTCGTCCTCCTCCCCCTTGGCAGCAGCTCAACTTCACCTCTCCCCTTTGCGCTTCTCCTTGCTGCAAAAGACATAATTGAACTCGTCTGGAAATTTCAATCCCGAGCAACTTTGATACAAGACCCAAGCCCACCTAAATAACACAACTTTGCCCATGGGCCCCATTTCGACGCCGCTTCTCCGGCACATGTACCGGCAAGCATCTCAAGACCCAGACCGTCACTCATTCGCTCTCTGGCAAAACCTACTGCACGAGCGATTCCCAAACCCAGAAGTCCACTCTGTGGTATGCGACATCCCACCAGCCGATAGACCGGCGCGCGATGCCGTCGTCGTCAGCAGATACGATGCCGTCAGAAACACAATGACCCCGTTGCTGTGGGTAGAATGCAGGGTACGCGGCGGTACTGTCGAGGCTCTGGAAAGACAAGCCGTCGAATCGGCAAAATCGTGTCTGGAAAGAAGTGGCTTGCCATCTCTCTTCGTCCTCACCGTGGTGGGAGTTTCGTTTCGGGTGTGGCTGTACGAAGAGGATGCTGAACAGCTCACTTCTCTCTATGGGAGCTCAAATGTCGCAAATTCGGGGCAATATATCGATGTCGATGCAGACAAGGCAGATCTGTTGATGCTTTTCTTTGAACTGGCCAGGACCGGCGCTAGAAATGTGAGAGATGCACGAGAGCGTCTTCTGGGCCATCTCGTGGCACAGACAAACGGTCATATGGAGTAGAGCGTTGGACCGTTTTGGGCGGTCCAGGTTGGGGCCTGAAACGAACGAATAGATTCATGAAATCTCATGGACCAGTGGCAAAGCACCCCTTTGTGTTGTTCAAGTGGCGGCTGTCGTAAATCCGTGTAGAATGGGAGCATATGTTTATAGCGAGCCTCCCGTATCTGGTTGCTCGGGCTCTGACGCGGCATGAATCACCCTAGCCTCCTGTCGCAAGTACCACCACTCCAACTTGCCATGCCAGGGAATTTCTTGCCAAGACTGCGCGCCGTCAACGCCTTGTCGTCCGTGTAGTCGAACCTCACTGACATATTTCTTGTCGCCCTCCAGCTCTCCTTGCCTAATCCACATTGGCAGCTCTGGTCGTACGGCTACAGTGTCCAGTGTCCAGTCCAATCGATACTGACCGACGCAGGCACGATTCCCATCATGGTATTGAAGCAACATGCCTATGATGGGCCGGTGTCGAAGACGCTTACCACAGCATGGCGTTACTGCTGCAACATTCTCCAGCCGACAGCACGAGTAAAAATGCGATTGGCCAAACCGATGCGGGATAGATTTCGGCATCCAAGAGTTTGAGTTGGCCGATTTTTCCCAACAGGTTGGAATCGTGGCCTGCACCCCTACGTACCTAACTCGCTGCCCGTCTCGTACGCTGTCCACTTCATTGACGTATACTCTCGAGGGTGAAGTTCCAATCTCATGGACTCGAGAATAGGTATACCGAGGACTGGGTATCTTCCCCAAAATCGTCGCTCGGCCGCGATTCGTGACAAGCTATATTGAGTTAGTTATTAGCTCCACGTTTTCATGTTGCGACATTGTATACGCATTGTGCCTCACCATCAAAGTTGCAGACCAATGCAACTGGCTTGGTGGCCGAAGTGTGCACCGCAGAGTCCCAATCTCTTTGACGTACTCTCCCGGATCTACAGGCATGTATATCCACGTCAGATCCTTGCAAATGATGTCTGCATCATGGTAGAAATGCGGGCTTGCTGTTTGGCGGTGTGCCTGCAACTTGATAACCTGGCGTCGGAAAATAGCGATAAAATACCCCTCGACATGTGGCGCATTGAATTCGACAAGGTTCATCCTCAATCCTCTGGGAGGAAAGGCGGAAATTTTCAGTCCTTCAAGGTCCATCACTTTACATTCCGTGACTGGCTCTGGCCAGGCAGGGCCACGGATGGAACCATCTGTTGCATCTTGTTCCATCCCATCCATGATTCCCCTGACCTTCAACCCCTGGATACGTCGTTGGTAAGCTTGTACGTCCTCTCCATGGTGGCAAACTCACATCAGATACAGCCAGAATTTGTCGAACTCCCTGAGGGCGTCGAAGCTCCACCCACCATACGTTGTCAGCCGTCTGCTGAGAATCACCTCTGGGAGCGCACACGTGAACTCCTCGGATGCCCAGGTGATCATACTCTAAGAATATCTTGCGTACAACCTGGCCCGGGTGCGGGGAATGGATATGCTTGCAGTCCAGACGGGCTCCCTTGGGTGCCTTGTTGTGAAGAGACTGAACGTAGGTGCTACCCTCAATGCGTACATATAGCGCATATACGTCCTGCTCAAGGTCAATGGTGACAGTGTTGGGAACAGTCGGTGCAGTATGTACTAGGTGATGCAAATTGACCACGGCGTATTCCCGAACAAGGTCCCGCGCAACCAGGCGACGTAGCTCTGGTGGAAATGTGGCTAATGCGCTTGATGTCGTTTGGCCCTCCAGGAGACTCAGGATGTATGCTGTTCGTTTTCGTTCTAGAGAGAAGGCTGGAGTGTAGTCGCTGTACATGGAGTCCACAAGTAAATGCGATGTCTGGCCAAACTTGGCTGAGTAGAATGCGTAGCACGAAGTATGAAAGCACAGGATTCCCGGCTGACACCAACAGCCTCGCTTGGTGCAGGCGATATGAATCGTCACATCTCCATCTACATGTGTCCCATTCTGTGCGAACGGAAAAGAAACCAATTTTCTGGCCTTGGTGTCTCTTAGGTCTGACAATTTGCACCGTGAGACAAATGCGACTCACTTGCGCGGACACTGGGGGCATCCAACGTACCTGCTGTGACGGATTCTCCATCGTGGAACCAAAACTGGCAGAGTCTACAAAGTGCGCTAGAGACACAGAATGGCTGGCCATGGACGTCCATTGAGTTTCGTTACCGTTATTGCTTCCGCGTCGCTTTGGTCGGCGATGACGACATGGAATGTGAGGCAGTGATGTGTAGATCTGGAGGTATTTTATATTTGGACTAGCCGGTGTTGCTTCTTTTTGGCTTACTCAACCGGGAACTTGCCTAGTACAGGTACCTACGAGGTAGTAGGCAGTCGATGAAAACGTTACATCATGACATCGCGACCTCCGATCCTATGACGATGATCCTACAGTCGAATCCACTCAAGTCTCGATATCCAATTGCATGTCTTTTGTATTGTCTCTTCGCCGCATTCTGCAACACGGTTCACGGACAATAGCCATTTCAAAAATTCCACCGGTTCAAAATTGTGTGTAGGGTAGCGATTGTGGACCCCTAAAGAAGTAGTTATCTCCCGAGACTCCATGCTCCTACTATGGGCCTGGTGGATCGTACGTTTGAGTAACAATTGCCGGTATAGAAGCGGGTCCTGCCAACTGCTCGCATTGATTGGCTTATTCAGCTGTTCGGCCCCTTGGTCGTTCCGCTACCGTCACCACGGCAACCATATTTATTCTCAGCCACCACTGCTGTGGCAGCAGTTGGCAAGGGTCGAACAACAAACGAATAGACGTCACCAAGTGGGTGCTTGCATTCGTGCATTTCGCCCCGTACAGTACGATACAATCACGCTCTTGCTTCTATTGCTCTTCAACTCGACTTCACCACCCCCATCCCCTTCTGCACATGTTTGCTTGCGTTTTGAACATTCTTCCGACCATTAGAGTTTTTGTTTGGACGACACCATTGGCCATATCAAGTGATACCCCTTGGGAGATTTTTTTGGTTCTTGTCGATTTCTGGGATCATTGTTTCTGAAACGAATGTGTTTACCCATACCGTTCACGAATCCACGCTGCACCAAACGGCCCGCATAAACGCCCGTCGTGAATATATACCCCTTTACCGAGATTTCTTTCATTTGGGGCCATCCGTCCACGCACCGGCGACATTGACACGATAGACGAAACACACCTCGCCAAAGACAAGCACCGGTCCCTGAAGCTCTGCAATATGGCGGCTGCGGGACAATCATCCATCACTGTTGCTGGTATGAGACACGTCGTGCAAGACGCGCGAAAACTACACGCAACCATCACCGTCAGCAAGGTACTAACGCAGTCATAGTTCGCGTACGACCATTCACAATCAGGGAGGCTGCCCAGCTGTATGTTGCGCCGACGACAACCGCAATCCTTTGTAGACCGTGACGAGAGGTACTGATGAAACAGCAGACAAAAAACCGATGACAGCCCCGTCTTCCTTGGAGATGGCTCTCTGGCAGGCCCAGCCCCGAAGCTGCACCAGCGAGGTCTACGCAGCGTCATCAAAGTCGTAGATGACCGCTGTCTGTATGTGGCATCACTATCCCATTGCAACCATTATGCCATTGCTAATTCTCAGCAAAAGTGTTTTCGACCCCCCAGAGGACAACCCCGTTCAACGATTCTCCAGATCCGTCGTCCCCACGTCTAAAAAGGTCAAAGACCAAGTCTTTGCATTCGATCGCGTTTTCGACGAAAACACTACACAGTCCGATGTCTATGAAGGGACAACCAAGAACTTATTAGACAGTGTCCTTGACGGCTACAACGCCACTGTTTTCGCTTACGGCGCTACCGGCTGCGGAAAGACGCACACCATCACTGGCACCGCTCAACACCCGGGTATTATTTTCCTGACCATGCAGGAGCTGTTCGAGAAAATCGAGGACCGGAGCCAGGAAAAGTCGACAGAGCTTAGCTTAAGTTATCTCGAAATATACAATGAAACGATTCGGGATCTTTTGGTACCTGGTGGAAGCCAAGGCGGCCTGATGCTCAGGGAAGATAGCAATCAAGCCGTAACGGTGTTCGGTCTAACAAGCCACCACCCCAAGAATGTCCAAGAAGTCATGGATATGATTATCCAAGGCAACGAGTATCGAACCGTGTCACCAACAGAGGCAAACGCCACCTCGTCTCGGTCGCATGCGGTATTGCAGATCAATATATCTCAAAAAGACAGAAACGCAGATGTCAATGAACCGCATACCATGGCCACCCTCAGCATCATCGACTTGGCCGGATCTGAGCGTGCATCGGTGACGAAAAACCGCGGCGTGCGCCTAACCGAAGGCGCCAATATCAACAAATCTCTTTTGGCACTGGGCAGCTGTATCAATGCGCTTTGTGACAAGCGCCAGCGCGCACATGTCCCCTACCGTAACAGTAAGCTCACCCGATTGCTGAAGTTTTCGCTGGGCGGAAACTGCAAGACAGTCATGATTGTGTGCGTATCCCCTTCTAGTGCCCACTTCGACGAGACGCAGAATACACTGCGCTATGCAAACAGGGCCAAGAACATCCAAACCAAGGTTACTCGCAACGTCTTCAACGTCAATCGCCATGTCAAGGACTTCTTGGTTAAGATTGATGAACAGATGGCTCTCATCAATGAGCTCAAAGCGCAGCAGAAGGATGCTGAACAATTGTTCTTTGCTAAATTTCGAAAGCAATGCGACAAGCGAGACGGCGTCGCTCGAGAAGGTGTGTTGCGGCTTCGCGCAGCTTACGACCACTCCGCGACGGAGCGTCAGGAGCGCATTGCTACTATGAAGAAGCTCAAAGCCTTTGAGAGACGAATTGCCATGTTGACCGGTTGGATTGCTGCGTTTGATACCGTTTGTGAGCAGAGAGCAGATAACGAGTCGATGCCTCAAAACTTGATTTCTATTCGAAAGACTGCTCAAGGCATTCAGCTTGAGCTTGAAAATAGTCGTCAACATATCCATCAAAAGCTTGAGAAGGCAACGTGGGAGCGGGCTATCGATACAGCACTTTCCCACAGTCTGCAACAACTCGAAGGCCTAGAGGGCATTGACACCGGCGAGCATGCTACGTTGACCCGGGAGGCAGAGCTCCTCAAAGCCAACTTTAGTCGAGAAGCGTACCGTGAAGTCCTCGAGCAAGAAAAGCTCGGCGATGCAGCCATGATGCAAATGCTTCTTACTTCCCAGTTCGAGATGCTAGCGTCGCTTTCCGATACTCTGGCCATGGATGAGGAGAGCGCTGTCGCTCACGCTAAACAGATTATCCACAAACTCCTCGAAACAGGATATACTGCTGCGGGTCAGGTGGTGAAACCTGACGGTTCTCTTCCCGTGGTAGAAATCTTTCCCCCAACTCGTAAAGGCACGCCGAAGCGGAAGAAAAGTCTTGGAGCGTACGTCAAACCCATTGCTCCTCTGGCGCTTGCTGCTGTTCAGAATGAGCATGTGTTTGCCAGCCCGATGAAATCGTCGCCAAGAAGACGTAAGGTGTTTGGCGCGGCGAAGAAGGGAATTAGCTTCACACCAATTAAGAAATCCAAGCCCAGGAGTGTTCGATGGAGGGATGACGAAAGCGAAGATGGGACTCTGGCCGATTTTGCAAACACGCCGCAGCAGATGGACTCAACCCCTGATCAGTCGTCAGCAGAGAGGACCCCGATTCCGCCACCGCAACCAACCTATCTTGTCGAGGATGAGCAGAACCGCGAGACATCGAGCCCCAGGATTGAGGCACCAGAGGAGGACCAGACGGCCACACCACCTTCCAAGCCGGGGCGATTCCAAGCTGGGTTTCTATCAAAGACCCGAATGTCAATGCAGCCACAAGGCTCACCATTGCTACAAGCCCCAACGTTCAGCCGAAGCGTGTCGTCCAGCTCCCCCAATTCTGGCAGGGTGTCACCGCTGCGAGCACTGGATGTCTCTAAGACAGGCAACATGTCGCCGCCGTCATTGCCGGCAGCTCATCGCAGCAGGTTAAGTCCACCGCAGCCGACATCTTTGAGGGCCATTGTGGATGAGAACAACCCCCCTGCTCAAGGGACACCTAGCTCCGGCTCAGACTCTGAGTCGAGCATGATTGATGTTCGCAAGCTCCGCAGTGCCATGCAATCAGCCAAAGGCCGCAGGCCCAGTGCCTTGGGCGGAGTAGTCGCTGCAAATGGAAGACGCGTCTCCTCGATATCCACCATCCCTGAGCGAGCTATGCCGCGTCCCAGCATGCCGTCGGTGTTGGCCAGCAGCACAAACGGCATCTCGAGGGCTCGTCGTGGCAGCCTGGAACGACGGAAAAGCCCTCCGCTCACCTGCTCACCACCCGAGTTTAAAGGTGACCGAAACCTGACCGCTGGCCAGGCTAGGCGGATGAACCTAGGTGGGAGCGTCCGAGTCGAGAATACAGCAAATAGCCCGCGAGATGGCTTGAAAGAGGCACCACGTCGCGTTACTATTAGTGTCGGATCGACGCCTGCCTCTCAACGACGCCAGGAGACTAGGGGAACTACGGTATGGCGATAAGCCCGTGTTCAATAAGAGCATCCTTAACCATGTATATTTTTCCTTTTTTCTTTCTCTCTTCTACTTGATCCAGCCGTCTTTTGTACAGGACTATGTTGGATGATGCGGTTACGGTTTCATTTCGGCAGAGGCATATTGGCGTTTGGATTGCGCAATGAATGAGTTTTGTATTTTCTGTAGAAGAATGGCATAGCTGTTAATTTACTCTTGATATGATTTGCTATTGAAGTGGAGTAATTTGGATTCTGCAACTATGTATTTGAAACATAATGACAAGCAACTATTGCGTCTTTTTGGGGGGTGGAGGGTATGAGGAGCGTTCAGAATGCAATATCCATGGCCTGCCCTGCACTTGTAGTGCTCCAGAGCCAATCTACCATCTCGGGTATCCGCCTCTACATCATTCATACTGCGTATTTCCATGTTGTTGCAGCATTCAAACATCGGTCTTCTGGTTCCGTTACGTTGTATTACATGCACTGTTCGTTTCCACATGTCACCACCATGTGGACAAGGGAAGATGGCGGGGTTCTTCTGTTCGCGGAGCATTTCGTCTTGAAAGATTTTCTTTGCTGAAATGCCTTGTTGAACAATTACCCACAGCAGACGGTGGCTTCTTGAGCGGCGCTAGTTTGTTGACCACTGCCCGAGTTTAGCGTAAGTATTGGAAGTGAGGGTATATATATAGATTCAGAGGATGAAAAAACGTACCCGAGGGGAAGGGTTTCCCACTGGAAGATGAAGGCGCCGAAGAATGAGCCGAGGAAGATGCACAGGATGATGTAGCCGTTGTAGTACATGGCCAGCTGTGATTTGGTTAGCACTTAGCAATCCGCAGAGTAATTTCGAGCCGGGTAAACCGCTCCCCAACGCCACACACACACAAAACGTACCAGCATCAGAATATAGGCAACGACAAAGGCCAGCAGGTGCAAAAACGCCCGGATGCCCTGCTGAAACACGTTTGGTCGAAACGGAGGGACCACGGCGCACGAGGTGACGGCTGCGCCCTCCTTGCCGCCGACAGAATCGGTGGCCCCTGCGGCGGCAGGGCTAGCCGAGGACTGGAACTTGGACACGTGCTGGCGGACGAGGAATCTGTCGTATTCCTTGATGGAGCGGCGGAGGAACTCGAGGACCATGCCGAGGAGGAAGACGCCGATGCAGGAGCCGGCGAACATGCCGGTGGATGTGATGCGCCATTCGGACGAGAGGAAGCATGAGCCGACGGTGTTGAGATTAAAGAGCATCTGGGGGATTTAGTGTTAGTCACTGGACTGCACCAGATGGGATTTTCAAGGGGGCGGTTGAGCCTTACGGAAATCTTGCATCCGTTGCCCATGCCCTCCATGTCGTGGCCGTGGCTGTGGCTGCCGGCACTCGAGGTTGGCATGGACATGGCGGTCGGGGTGCCAGTCATGCCCATGTGCATGGTGGAATGATCCATATCCATTGTGAATGTGCGTTGCGATAGTATTCAACGAGTTGGAGTTGTGAGGCTGGGACTATTGTAGTGTGGGCTTGCAGAGCGCGAGACCAAGACCAAGACGGGGCAAGATTTCCCGGACCAAGGCAGAGGCAGACCCGGCCGATCTTATAGCAGCAGGGAGGCAAGCCTCGCGGGCCAAAAATATCCTCAGTGTACGAGTGACAGACCACAAGGTCGTGTCTGACGATGCTTTGGTGCTGCCCGGGCTACGGAACTTTATTGACTCGCCGAGGGCCCTTGGTGAAACCTTGAGTCGGGAGTGGTGAGCCGCGTGTAAACTAGCGCAATTTGCGCTTTCTGGCAGACTGAGATGGGCCTGTGCTTCATGGTTTTGTTTTGTTTGGTCTCGCGGGGAGGGAGACATGCGACCAGCCGTCGGGCTTGGGTCGTCGGCTGTTATGAGGTGATTGCTGAGAGTGTTTGAGCAAGTTTCCTGGTCGTGCAAGCCGTGGTATTGGATTGAAGGGATGCAGCTGTGGATATTTTTGGCTGGGGTGCGAAAATGCCAAGTCTTTGGTGGGCTTGGTCGTCCAGCTGGATTGAGAAGGAACAAAGGGCGAGGCGGGGATTTGATTGGTGAAAAGTGGGACGCTAGTGTCGGGAGTCGGCTGTCAGGATTTTAGGGCGTCGATTGGGCCAAACTTTGAATTTTGCCTCCTTCTGGGGCGTCCGCATCAATTGAGGTCGGAATTTCCATCCTGTCCACGACAACTGGCGATGCGTCATGGGCGTTGGTGTCATACATGATTTCGTCTCCTTGCACAGAGTGTATATTCGCGCCTCGCTTTATCATGTAACAGTCGTGTCAGGTCTAAATCTACGGACTCGTCGCTGCCTTCTTTTCTCCAACATCCAGAATGCGCCCACTGTATGACGAAACCTGGCAAGCCATTGCGCAATGACGCAAAGTACAAGTGCAGGACCAACCCCGATGCTTGTTCATCATGACTATTACAAAAACTAGTTCTTCCAGCTGCAAACAAACACCTTGCCAGTTTCAAGGTAGCAACGGGGACAAGGCGGCTAGCACGGTTGGTAACATCTCCAATGACACTTGGGGTAATTGCAGTGGCGCTTGCGCTTCCCGCATCTCGCGGCGATAGAAATTGCGCAGTTGTTCGACGCGGCGCACGGGCAAATCCAAATGTATTGGCGAGATGAGTGGCCTTCCACGCCCAGCGGCGAGCCGTACGACGGCAAGAATCTTCTGAATCTGGTTCGCAGAGGCAACAGTCCATTTGGGGGCGTCTGGGACGTTGGGCTACTGATCCGCGAGATCGAGGAGAATCTAAGCACAGAGGTGACGGATATTCCCATCATCACCAAGGGGTCCAACAACTATGTGGGCTTTTTTCATTATTGCCATGTGTCCTAATGAATCCAGATTTGCTAAATCATGCTTAGGGTTTCCATGAAAACCTCCAACATGCCTGATATGGTCGCTCGTCTAGCTCGCGGCGATGTCAACATGCCAGATTTTGACGGCTTTCCTATCGAGATACAAGCTGAGGAGGCTAGTTGCGAGGTAGCTGTCTACAACTTGCTGCGACGGGAGACGGAAATTTTAGCCTCTCGTTTGCTGTACTCTCGCATACCGGCTCAGTACCAAGGACCCCCCGTCCTTCAATAGCGCACCCCCGCTAGCTCTTCGCAACAGCTCCGCCTTCTTGACCAGCTGGCTCATATTCGTGCAGCCTTGTTTTCCTACGACCCTCCTCGCGAATTTGCAGCTGAATACATCCTCTACCGCCTATTCAATTTCAAGCCAGACTCCTTGTCCGTGACTGTCGTTCCTACTCGCGAGTTTTGGATGCACGTGCCGGAGTCCAAGATCAAGGCGACCATTCGGGACGAAGGTGACATGATCGGATGGGAGGACGACGAAGAGACGGTTGGACCCATTGCCTTAGCGGCCAAGCAGTCTCTTTTGCGCGTAGTCCCGCTAACACTCCCGCCCGATGTTCCTGATGGCTCTCTATATCGGTTCGTGCTCGAACATGGAGATTTTGGCATTCACAACATGACCATCACAAAGAAGAAGAACGGCCGACCTCATGTTACGTCGCTGTACGACTGGGAAACAGCATGCATATGGCCGGCTATTCTCTCTGATCCCCTGGTGGCAGCCGGCCCCGTCGATATAATTACGGACGGGCAAGGCGCTCCCTCCATCACACGGCTACCGGAAGACGCGACTCATACCGATCTCGAGACTAACTCATCGTGGGCAGGTCATTATATCAAGGTAACGTTCATCTGAGTCAGTGCTGTTTTCTTGGCCGACCGGAGAGAAATAACAATGGGTAATTTATAGAACCTCTATCATGCCGCGCCGGGCTACGAAATGGCCATTCGGGCAGGAAAAGACTTCCGCTACCTGTGGTATGCGCTGCGAGACTGGCGTGGCGGCAACTCGGAGGAGTTCTTCGGTGCCTTGGAAGAATGGGCTGAGAAACGTATTACAGAACTGGAGGCTCCCTAAATCGTGGCACCAAGTTTAACTCACTCTTCTAGAGAGCTACGTGCATTGTATTGGTCTTGATCTCTCTGTACTGCCCATTTTAGCCGAGAAGGTATAAGCTATAAGCTATACGCTTGTAACTATCGAGCGAGTACCAGACCGCCAAGGTATCGATGGAGCGCATGAACCAGGCCGCGAAATAGGAGGACCCGAATGGTCTGGGATTCATGGAATGTGAAGCCAGGATAGTAAGCAGACCGTGAGGGATAAGAAAGCATTAGTCGAGGAGGAGACTGAAGCCCAGAGAATCAATCTAGAGTGGTGGGAGGCTCGACTTCTGTATCCCGTTGGCTCTAGAAGGCGGGCTATTGGCACTAAGCGGGCAAAGAGCGGCCAAGGCGCCTTGCTCAACCGGGGTGGCACTAAACTTCACAGACTACAAGATATGATATCATTACAGCAAAAAGCGAGAGTGCGGGGCAGTACATGTCGGAGGCGAAGCCGGAATCATTGTACTGCCAGACATGATAGGAACCGATGAACTTGCCGGTTGCTGCCATGGGCACAATAATGAGAGCTGTCCGCCTCTTGCCAAAGATAGTATATGGCTCCTCTGACGTACTTTGCTAATCAACAGCATGGTTACGAAAGTGACAGCTTTTAGAAGTCAAATTGGTTTTTGCATAATAGCTTGTAGCTAGCTAAATAAATACAAACATGTTATTCTATATACATGTCATGAAATGATTCTTCCCCCACATAACAAGGACAACCATGCCGTTAACCAACTCATGTCGTACCACCAACTACTATCGTCTTGCCTACTAAACTCTCCACTTACTTTAGATTAGTCTACACTTGGGATACCTCCAATATTACGCCTGCAAAAATTGTAGACTACTTACGTGAAATATTCTCCATACAACTCTGAATGATAAAGGATACTCTTAGACTGTCAAAGTATTATAAGAAGCGTGGGAAAGACGTCGCTATGACCATGACATCAAATATCACTCGTACAAGATTTGTCATGCTGAAATGCAACCGACGGATGTAACAATATAGCCATATTTCTGGACTGTGCGAGTAGCCTCATACACCAACAAAAAAGTGGTATTGTTCAATGTGTGAATGCAGTTATCTAGACATGTTTCAACTCTAGTATACATTCACGGGACTCATTGCCATGGAGAATCTGCACACATATACACTGCACCACGCTCTGGCTGGTAATCACCACCGAAAAGCCTAGGCAAACATGCCATCCCCCCACCATATATATCAATTCGCGCCCGCAAACCGGATTACAATATCCGCCACGTTGTGATCGACAATGTCCGGCTGCTCGTAGTTCTGGAAATGAGACACGCTATTGTCCCAGGTGAGCTTCTTGTTCTTCGTGGGGATGGATTCATAGTGGCGTTTCGCAGCCGGCGCGTTCATGCAATCATCTCCATGGATAATCAAGGCGGGCTTCATGAGCCTGGCCACCCCGTCCACCGTACTGTAGCTAAAGTGATCGAGGTCACTCATGACGGCGTACCTGTTGTCGAAATTCCCAAGAGTCCAAGGGCCGTACCACGGCCAAGCGACTGGGCCCGGCAGCCCAGCGAGCAAACCGACGTCTGGGTCGGCAGCCGTCGGGTCGACCAGCGGCTGATACAAAACCTCGCCCCTCTTGTCGTATAGCTCGCGGGCTTTCCGAGCTCGTTCCAGTCTGGCCTTGTATAGGGCCTCGCCCTGTTCCGGGGTGGGCATCTTCATCGAGCCGACGTCTACGCCAGGCTCAGGGTTGACACAGCCCGAGCAAATTATACAAATGTCGGTCTCGCGGTCCCGATAGTAGCCTGTGACTGAGGCGACTCCGCGAACACGATGGTCATGGGAGGCAATGTCGAGGCATTCGGGGCCACCCTGGCAAATCCCGACCAGGAACAGTCGATTGCTGTCCACGTTTGCTAGGCTTTGGAGATAGTCCAGTCCGGCTACAACGTACTCATTTTCCATTTTTGGATTCTCGAGTCGGCGGGGCTGTCCGGTGCTCTCGCCGACGGTCCGCGGATCAAAGATCAAGGCGGCGTAGCCCTCGTCGGCAAGTCATGTTGCGTACTGCAAGGGCGCCTGCTCTTTGATGAAGGAATACGGCCCGAGAATAACGACCTAGGGGGGTTACTAGCCTTGGTTGGTGTGTAGAGAATGCCAGTGATTGTCTCCCCGTTCGATGGGTAAGTGACTTTCTTTACCTTGTAATTGCCGTGGGAGACCACTATGACGGAGGAAATGTAAGCTTTATATGAACGATTAGGCTAGTTTTTTCAAGTAAACCATCTATAAATGTCGAATTCTACGAAGAATGCGCGGCATCTTTATATTCAAACTGCCTTCATCGTTTACATATTAGTAGGGACTGTTGTCATGCCCTTATGCAGTGTAACCGTCAAACTTTGTCAAGCTGCGCGGACGGTCAAAGCGTGCCATACACTATCGGGGAATGGTCTTGAAATTCAATCGAGGCTGAATCGGGGCCATGGCAATGGGAGAATTTGCACTTTCGGCGATAGGTAGTTTCGGAGATGGCGGCACGTCTTGCGCCGCCACCACCGGCCAAAGAGCCATGTAAGCAGGCTACACATGTATTCATCGAAGCAAAATCGGGCATATTCGTGATTGTTGGGACTCGCCTTGTTGGACTGTTGGTCCGATCTGTCGGCGAGTCCGCGAAAACGACGGGTCCCCTACCACGCACCATAAGAGCTTCTCAGGATTCATACGTAGCTGCGCAAAGCGTCTTGGATGATGCTGTTAGGCCTGCATGAGCCACTTGAAATACGGCTAAATGGTGCCCTCAATTGACGATTCGTGAGTATTTTTGGTGTCGTTATAAAGGCCTTCTTCCAACGATTCTGTGATGCCCTTGGCGTTTCGGCTCCAATCAACGACTTTGGAATCGGAGACTAGTAGTTGTCAAAGTCACGGTAATGTTAATCACATCGATGCGTTGAAGTTCTGCGAAACGTTCTGCCAAGTATTGCGTGATGAACCGCTATCCGCCGCAAAGACTCAAGATGCTGTTTGATGTGTGGGCGATCTAATGCCAACCGTTCTGTGAGCTCAAGCTGAGGATTGAACGCTCGAAACTCAGAGGGGCCAATCGACGGTGGCCTGGTCCTTTGGAAATGCCATTTCGGGTCAAACAAGCCGAAATTGAAGCTCAAGTTTTCTCCGAGTGCCTTGTACTCACCTTTGGAGGGTCATATATGTCCTTATTACTTTGTCCTTGTATGTATCGATACGATCAGATATGATTATCCTGATGGTTTTCGTAGGTTCCATTATTACTGCTATTTATCAAGTTACAATTTCTGCCACGTTGTGATTGATAATGTCTGGCTGCTCGTAGTGCTGTAGACGGCATCTGGTCCTCAGAGACACAAGCTCAGACTCGAGAGCGAGTCAATCAGATAACCTAAGCTTAGTCATGGCGTTGGCTCTCAGCTTCCTTTTTGCAATTCTCTCAACGGCTTGGCCAGCGCCATCTCTCTTGTCTACGAGTCCTCCTCATTTTGTCCGAAGAAACAGAACATGGGTGCATCTATGACATATAAAAGAGCGGCGGTGTGCCGTTTCACCCTAATTTCCTTAGTTGAGAGACACGTGCTCACCAGGCAGGCGCTGCTGCCCATAGAGCAGGTTTGATAGTGTGGCCTCCATGCTAGGGCTTGCGCCCCTCCTTTGTTTTATTCCCTTCAATGCTGCTTTCTCCCTTCTGCCCACAGCGTGAGTCATAGCATGAGAAACAACTTCGAGTTAACAAAATGCAGCCGAGTAGGTCCCAATAGTTGCATCATTCATTCATTACTGGAGGGAGAAAATGGTCAGATCCAGTCACCATCATGGACACTGAAGAGTTGGACCAACTCGTTCGCGATATATCCACCAGGATGGACGTGGGGATTCCCGAGGTGCGCGGGCCAGTGGATGGGCTATCTCATCGAGTCTATGAGCTGAAATATTCAAGCGGCGAGGCTTGGAGTTTAAGAATTCCCAAGACTGAGGTGGCAGCTTCCATCAGCAAGAGGGGACTTGCGGTTCTTGATCACCTCAAAAAAGTGCAGCCAACACTCTGGGTTCCTAGGCCGATTTACGACTCTGAAACATACAGCTTGTTGAGTTTTCTAGACGGGGACACACTGGGCGCTTGGGATTCATTCAAGTTGACGGATAAGCGGCGTCAACAGCTTCTGAATAGCCTCGCAACGTTCTTGTTGGACTTGTGGTTGTCGCCCGTTCCCCAGTCAGGTGAGAGTGAGACGTTGATGCACATCAGGCTTCATGCAAATATACGTTCTTGCTGACTTGGCCACCAACTAAGCCTGCTCAATGGGCTATGAGGAATGGCTTTGTAATGAAATAGACCAAGCTTTACGCCGTTCATTACCCGCCAACTCTGGATGGGGGGATCCTCTTAGCTTTCTCTGCCAACATGAGATGTGCAGTTCCAGAGCGCAATTGCTTCAGAGTCGCAGTCAGGCATGGCGATTTGAATGCTTGGAATATACCGGTAAATTAGGATGGTGTATCTGGGTGAGTATACGATACAAGCTGTGCAAGCATGCAACCGCGATAATTTTGTGCGAGTCTCATGGCACTGACAGTACTTCTGAACAGTGTCATCGACTGGGACACGGCACAATATGTACCCATGCCGGCCGCTGTCCATTTTCCTTCTTTTATAGCAGATATTCCAGGCTGGGCTAACGATATCCCCAAAGGAATGACCTTTGAAGAAGATCGAGCTTACCTCGAAATGATGCTCTACAGGTTGGCTTCAGAACGGCGTGGCTTGGACGGTTTTTGCATCACTGATCTCTTGAAGACGTCATTTGAACGACAGTTTTTCGAGCTCTCCCTCCGCAATAAACGAATAAACCTCTGCTATATCGATATGAAGCTCAAAAGCATGCTGGTTAATAAGGCTACTGTTAAAGGGCAGCTAGAAGCGTTCCTTTCAATTAAACCTAAATTACGAGAGGACTCTCACATCTTGAAATTATATCCGCGCTTAGACGGCAGCGGTCGTGTGCTTTTAAACACTTGACCGATGCCGGCTAAGGACCGTGGCCGCAGCCGAGAGTACCGTCAGAGTAGACTAGTAATAACCACTTTTTAATACAGTTTGGTTACTGTCGTACTTTCCTCGAATCCTTTCCAGTATCATCACCCTATTCAGCGGTGCCATGATGCTATACACACTGACTTATTTTTGACCAAGCTCTGGGTGAAGCTCTGAGCCAGTTCGTGTAGCTTTCTTTTTGGGCGGTGAGCCCGTCAACTTCAATATAGATACATCCCTTATTGAATAACTACAGTGTCAACCTATAAATCTATAAAAAGGGCCTAAAGTACGTAAATAGATTCAATCAAGGACTAATCCATCCACTGTTCAATGCGACCCGTAAACCGCTTAATCGTTACAAAACGTAGTTTTCAATTTAGTACGCACTCACTATAACACTCTCAACGACTTATACGGAGCACATTCAATTAAGTGTCACATGCAGTCAGAGGCAATAAGCATTTACCCACCCGGTGGCGTAGAATGTGACAAGGCCTCAGTGAGGGCTTGGAGTAATAACTTGATTCATCTTTAATAGTCTTTGGTATTAAAGGTTCTTGGTTTTCTTCAAGGCCTATATGATTAAAAGGCTCTATCCACATAAGAAGTCGGTGAGAGCCTTATGCCCTAGGGCTCGTGACGGTGCCCTCATGTAACCGGGTGACAGTGGCGGATGGCGGAATGCTGAAAAAGTTTTGCTGCTGCAGACACGCAGAGCCGGTGCCAAATCAAGGAACAGAGTAAAAGTAAAAATAAATAGATCTTTTCCCTCTTCTTTCAAGTGCTTAAAGAGGGGAATCGCAAGTGACCATGCCGACAGGCACTACAGGCATAGAAGACTAGTCTTGACCAGCAACAATAGACCGCCAAGGACAAGGACGCCATACCGACCGCTTTCAATGAAGATATTTACTATTTTCGATTGATTTCATGGCGTCCGCACAAGCGCAACCACGTTAATGTCAACGACAATACTGTCAACAACGGTTGTGGGAGCTAAAAGCCAACTGCAGCCGCTAATCCATCAAAAGCAACTATCAGCGAAAGCAATAGCGCTACGGATCTTCTATATCAAGCAGCTCTATTTCCCTCTAGTTTAAAATCAAAATGGAGGGAAAGCATCCAATCTGTCCGTGGCAGCATCTGTGTGTCATACCGGGGTCATAGTAACGTCATTGGCGGTACCAACCTGACAGATGGATACACTGGGCTCGAGATGCCCGAACTAAAGCCCAGAAACCTCGAACTAGTCAAATAACGTAATTGTCAAGTTGCCAAGACTCATCATGGTCCAAACGCGTAAGCAAAGTCGAGAAAAGGACGAAGCCACAGCGGCCGATCAAAAGGCTCAAGATGAAGCGGCTCGCAATGCGCAATCGCCGTCGAAGCTGGCGTCTCACCATCCGTTGGAGAAGAACCACCATCGCGGCCAAAAACATGAAAGTGGGGATGAAATGGTTTCGGATTTAAAGTCTGCAATAAACAATAAAGCGAGTGATGGCCAAGGCCTCCAGCAGCAGCTACACCGAATCTTGAACAAGCACAAGGAAACACCGCTGCAACAGCTGGTTGACGAGAAATGGCCCGCCAGCAAGATTGTCATGGTTCACATTCTGAATGCGCTGCTTTCATCGACGCGCATTTCGCATCACATTGCTTTGGCGACACTGAGATGTCTTGTTGATGAGGATTACCACGATTTGAAAACCCTGCATGAGTCCTCCTGGCAGGAGAGGACTGAGATCCTGACAAACGGAGGATATACTCACTATAGAGAAAGGACTGCTACATATCTTGGGGATCTAGCGGATCTTATGAGGCAAAAATATGGTAAGATCTTGTTGCGCCAGTCGGTTCGCGCCTTTCTACACCTCTGCATTAACCATGCTAACCATGCATATAAAGACGATGACGCGTCTAAAATACTGTCCGCGACGGAACAAGGAGCCAAGTTGCGAAGTATTTTGACCGGCCGATTGAAAGAGATTAAGGGACTCGGCCCGGTTGGGTGTGACATTTTTCTCGCCACGGTTCAGGGCTTCTGCCCAAATGTCGCACCGTACCTGGACCGGCGAAATCTCGACATGGCCAAGAAAATCGGCTTGACGGACGATTTGGAGGCAATTTTTGAGGCACTGCGATCAAGTCCTATGGATATGGCGAGGCTTGAAGAAGCGCTTACAAGTGAGAGATTGGACCGTTAGAGCACCAACTCAGCTATGCTTCCTGTGAGCGATGCCCATGAGTACCAAATATCATATCATGAACTGACAATTTCTCTGAACCGTGTTGAAAGCCCCGGCAACGCTGCACCTGTCAATGTCTCCAGATCGTTCAATACCCTTTAGTTTCTACTAATCAGCGACCAGGTATACTGCAGCATGGAAGTGGCAAGGCCGTCTACAGATGGGCGTTTTTGGTCAAGTCAAAATATTGTCCTTGCAACTTAGATTAACAATTTTTAAACGCTGTATGTAATATTTCAAAATAAAAATGCTACAACTTCTACCAGCTCTCTTCCTTGCCGTAGCCAGCCTCCTTAGCCTTCTCGCTTCGAGATTCAAAAGACCCGGAGGATGCCTGACCTCCTTGCGAAACAATTTCTCTCTATAAAAATGAACTAATTCTTTTTCCATATTTCGCACGGATTAGCCTATTTATCAGCATCCATAGCGGCAAAACCACTTGAGTATCTCGCCTGCCCACCCTTGGATGCCATATCCTGGACTTCGTCCTTCGGGCTATAGTGACATAGTTTTTGGCAGTAGAACTACGGAACCATTAATACCGATTTTCAAAATTTCCGGGGTTTTGATTTCCAGTCTTGTTTCTTATATCGAGATTCGTTAGATTTCTTGTTTGTTAGCGCAGTAATTGGGCTCTCTCTCTCTCTCTCTCTCTTTTCTTTTACTTTTGCCTTCCTCTTTCACATATGGGTTTATATCTTTACATTAGGTTGCAGCAACACCACTTTCGAATCAACGACGAAAGATGTCGTTAGCGCTCTGCCTGTTGCAAGATCGAGTATCCATGCTGGCGTAGATATATGAGACAAATGATGCAGACATTCGCACACTCAGGAGCATCCATACTCAATTGCAAAGATGACTATGAATTGTATGAAGTTATAGGATCTACATCTGACTCGGGGCGAATCTGTAGAAAGTGCACTTTACCAAGTATTAGCTTGCCATCGTCCGAACATGGCCGAATTTATGCTGCATGTTTTCAACCTAGTAGATTGGGCCATTTTCACAACCCTACTGCAACCCAATCGTCCGTGTCGGCTATCTCGGAACGGCTCTGAAGTCTGCGCGGCAAAGTATTGCGCACAAAGGCTCGGAGAAGTCGTCCGATGATGACCCCTACAAATACGTCAGTCCGTAAATTAAAGATTGGGGCTTTTCCAGATGATGTAAGGGAAGCGGGACTTCTGTGAAGGCCCACCGGAAAGCATGAAAGACCAGGTTAACATTTCAGAGTTTCTAGCAAAGGCAGTACTTCGTGCGTCATGGTTGCATCAACCATTGTGATACCGTCAATGTCTGGTTACGCACAGCCGCAGTTGTTACGCTGCCCGGCACAACGTCAGTATTACAACGTGATGTCGGCTCAAACAGCAGCACTGATGGTTTAAGCATAGCGGTGTTAGATTCATCCCAAGTGTCTGCTGGAAAGGATGACCGTCTAGGACGAGGTCAGTGATTTGAGCTCACTTTCGTACCGCCATTACCACGTTGGCTAAATAAATATTGCTTGGCGTATGCTTTAAGGTTATAAAAGAGCGCAGAGTCCAACTTTATGACGGGACATGTTCCTCTTGGTATCACCAGTACCCAAGCTGAACTAGCATTGTGTTTTTCGCTTCCGGTCCAACCACCAGATAAGCCATGGCGCTCGTACCCAAAATGTCTCGCAACGCGGCGCTGCTGTTCCTGCTGGGCTCGTCTCAAGCTGTACCTTTCATATCCCGGGCTAGAACCACCGTCTATTCTGAAGAGACGCCAGCCCCAATCGCGGTTCCCGTCACCAATGTGACATCCCACGGTCCATACACCGGCCCGTCTCCAACCACGACCGGGGCATTGTCAAATACCGTCCTGGGGCCGTCGATTCCTGCCTTGCCACCGGCTGAGGATGCCTTCAAGTACCCAGCAGACGGCAAGTTACACGGTCCTCAGCCCGCGCCATACACGCCGAATGGTGGCATTGGCACCAACGGCTCCGCGCCAGTCTACAGGGTGCAGAGTGACTTTGACTATCAATCGCTCGCCTTGGCGCTATATCATGAATGGATCGAGCTCGATCTTTTCCACTGGGGCTTGGCCACGTTCCCTGACGAGGAATTCGACGCCTACGGTATCAATGCCGAGGACAGGTTTCTCCTGCAGCACATGGCAGACCAAGAGATCGGGCACGCAACCGTTCTGTCCAACATGCTCGGGCCCCAGGCGCCAGTACAATGCTCATACAACTACCCCGTTTCCAACGTCAGGGAGTTTATTGACTTTAACCAAAAGCTCACACGGTGGAGCGAGGCCGGCGTGTATGGTTTCCTTCCGCACCTCAACTCCGGGCCCGCCGCGCAGCTTCTGCTCCAAAGCATCACGGTCGAGGCTCGCCAGCAGTTAATCTTTCGTCAGTTTGGAGGCCAATTCCCCATGCCCGAGTGGCACACGCCTGGCATTCCCCAGAGCTGGGCGTGGACGCTGCTAGCACCCTACATATCCAGCTGTCCCTACAACCAAACGCGTCTCGTTTGGCAGAACTTTCCCGCGCTGCACATCCTCAACCAACCCAATCCTGCGCGCATCAACGGCTCAGATGCTTGGAATGAGACGACTGGAGGGTGGAGCAACACGCTTTCTACTGCCAACATCTCCAAGTCGGAGCTGTGCGTGAATGCCACAGATAAGACGATGGACTGTGGCGCAGCTATCAGCCAGAACCGGAGCATACCTCTGTCGTATCCTGGTCGAGAAGTCTTTCTGAAATGGAACAAGCCGGGAACACTGGTCGGGCCCAATAATAGCTACGTGACGACAACGAATGTGGTTGAGCCCAAGTTTGCTGCTTGGATATCGCAGTTGAATGTCACATATTCGCCGCTCCTGAACGTGAGCACCAAGGATAATACGGCATACACCATCCAGCCCAACACGTCGACGTGGGCTGGCGATCCTGCTATAAACGGCACAATGTTTCTTGCGTTGACGGATGTTGATCTCTATGTCACGCCGTACAACCTCACTATGATCAATCCTCATGTTGGAGCGCTTGCTGTCTACCAGGCTGGTTGAAGATGGATGTTTAATGCTGGGAAATAGTATTCACCGGATTCTCCGTTAAGGCCATATTGGTACCCACTAACGGCCAACTATACGGACTAAAAACACTATAAACGAGACTCCGGAGTGAAAGTCCTGCGTAGGGTGTAAAAACGGGTAGCCTTAAGCACCTATAAATATTTATATTTTCTTAGGTTATTTAAAAGTTACTTTTTTCCTTAATTGCAATATCACCTAAATACCACCATTGCTTAGGTAAGGTGGTGCGAGTAGTCAAAGCAGTGGCCCGTGGGAGCAGGTTAGCTTACTCAGCAGAATAGAGCTGCTAGGGTACCACTGGTCAGTGCAGGGGCTGCTATTCATCCTGACACATATCTCTACACCATGGAATAGCAGCTCTGATTGTCTCATCAATTCACTAATAATGTTTCGCCGTTTCTTATAGCCCATATAATGGCTAACCTTACTCCAGCAGAACATGAAATTATTAATGGAAACCCTCTTGGTGACTCGCTGAGCAGCGTTCGCGAGGCATTGCGCGAGGCAGAACGGGCCACGCAGCAGGAAGCATCTCAATCGGATGATAGCACGCCTGCACCAGGACGACCGCGTCTGTTCATGGCAGCAATAGGGAAACTTTTTGTGATATTATCCGGATCTGATGTCTCGCTATTACTTGCATCAAGAACCGGAAGGGACGCCCTTGCGTCTGATCTGACTGCGGTTCGCCTGCGCGTGCTGAAAGGTGATTTCGAGTACAAGCACTTTCGCTCATTGTCGCAGTTTGTGATCAGACAGGCACCAGATCTTGATGTCTGGGCTGCCGTTATCGCCCTCGTCCGGTCAATTTCTCACTCGACTCCGCCACCGAGTTTACCGCCATCTCTCGAAACCCCGATCACACATTCATCCGCCTCGCAGCAAGGGTCAGAACAGACGCGACGAAAAATCGAACCTCGTGTGTTTGAAGAGATTCGCCACTGTACATACCGTGCGGTCGATGGATTCCACGAGAAATATTTTACGGGACACAAATGGAACAGGCGGGCTAAGCGAGTCTGGCAGAGCGTCAAGAGTCACTATAGCGACAATGACAAAAGGTGGACACAATTACCCGACATGGCCACCGAGGACGAGGTATGTGGCTGGGTCCTCAATCTGCAGGATGAACTACTGGCAACCGAACGAGCCGCATACTTTAGAAGCAACGGAAGCAAAAAAGTCGGGCCGGAGGCGTCACGGCAACTGGACCTCTTTGTCAAAATGAGAAGAGACGAGGCATCAGACGCGAAGCACGACTGGAGACACGTGGTAGTCGTCGGCGAGCTCAAGCAGTCCGACCAGAAAAACAAGAGCCTATGGCTTCAGCTTGGTAGCGCTGTGCGAAACGTGTTCGCCTACCAGCCTACGCGATTATTCGTGCATGCCTTCACTCTAACTGGGACAGAGATGGAGACATGGGTCTTTGATCGATCCGGGCCGTACAGCGGGGCTACATTTGACATCCACGAGAAGCCCGAAAAGTTCATTCAGGTCATTTGTGCATACTTGATGATGAGTGACGAAGAGCTAGGCTTGGATACCTTTACCCGTGTAAAGGACAACAGGTTATTTGTGACTATACCAGTTAAAGCTCGCGGGAAGAAGCGGAAACGTCAACTCGAACTTGAGCCCAATCCAATCGCCCATCAGCGAGCCATTATCTGCCGTGGCACGTCTTGCTTCCTCGCCAAGACTACGGGCGCAATGGAATTTAACAGGGTCGTAAAATACTCTTGGACTTCCAACATGCGACCACCTGAGGCCGATCTTCTTAATAAAGCAAACGAACGCGGCGTTAAAGGTCTCGCGAGAGTAGTTGGCTATCATGAAGAAGTCACTAGCATAAGCAAGCTTCGTGAAGGTCTGGTCTTCTCGGCTCCGCATAAGTTTCGTAATATGCCTGGCAGTACCACTACATCCTTTTCACAATCACAACCTCCAGTGAGCCACTCGTTCAGCCAGTTTCATAGCCTTGGTATTGCCAGTAATAGAGATGGCAAGCGGAAGCTAACAGATTGGTCGAGCCATTCATCTAAGAGATCTCGGTCAAACAGCCAGCTTACAGAGACAGAACAGGCAGAAAACGGGGTCACTTTTCCTGTTCAAGAACCGCAAGGTACTAGCCTTGTCCAGCAAAACCAGGCACCATACGATAACCGCATCTTTCGCGTGCTGGTAATTTCTCCGGCGGGGCGATCCATCAGCCAGTTCAAGTCTGTTGTCGAACTCCTTGAAAGTCTTCGTGACGCTATCAAGGTTCATCGCTCACTTTAAGCTGGTGCGTCGAAGAAGCCGGCGACAAAGACCATACTTTCGCACTGGTACACTGGAACCTATAAGGATATTGCGCGGAATAAACGTGGCGATATGGATAAAAATGGCCTTGAAGCTATATTAAGGGAATGTTCGCAAGTATTTGATTGTGTCAAGCCTTTATGTAGGACAATAAGAGATGTACTGTTCCCGCATAAGGATGGTCTCTTCACCGGTACTCCACAGGATCCGAATATCCTGTACGATCCAATCATCAAAGCATTTAATGATACTATAGCGGGGATAGGGGGCTGAGAGAGGCAGATACGTGATGCGTCCCCCGAAATAGAATAAATTGAATCCCCAAATGTCGCTTTTGATTAAATACTCAAGGGTGCTTTCAAATTTAGCGTTGGCTTTGAACTGCGTACAAGCTTGTGACAGCTTTGCGTTGTGGCACAACCCGACGTGAGTTGTCCTTTTCGGTGGCAGAGGGTAAAGGTACGATCGTATATCTATTATGGCGTGCGAGATACTCGTGGCCGTGATGTCTGGTGGCCCGTGAGAAAGGCCAGTGCTAGCTTCTTCGTCATGTTTCGGCAAGTATGCGCTATAACGCAGCCTCTCCCCGTTCCTTTGATTACATGTACTCACCCAGTCTCTCCCAATACCTTGGAATTTCCCATGACCATCCTGCATCTCTTTCAAAATCGCACCAGGCATCTTTTGGCCAACGCACCTCTGCCACAGCCATGAGCGTATCCCCTCCTCCCACACCAGTGACACACCACCCACAAGGCCCGTGAGGGATGATGAACGGAGATTCAAAACAATCACCTCGCCCTGCGAGTGGGTGGAAGACTACCGCCCAGGTGGCTACCACCCCGTTCTGCTCGGCGGGACATGTTTAATGGTGGCCAGTACAAGGTGATTCGGAAGCTCGGCGAGGGCTCTTACTCAACTGTGTGGCTGGCCCGGGACCTGAAGTAAGGCCATCTTTGCATCGCCTACCATTGCTATTTGTATCGTCGTTACTTATTTCTCCCCAGGAACTCAAGATATGTCGCCTTGAAGATTCTTGTCTCGGCAAACCCGGCTTCAGCTGAGCTGCAAATCTTGCATCACTTTACCAAAGCCGCACCAGCAAGGCAGCCCAGCATATCACGCAGCTCCTGGGCGAGTTTGAACACCGAGGCCCCGATGGCGTCCACAAGTGCCTAGTACTTGAGCCCATGGGCCCGAGTGTGAATACCATGGTCGAGAAATTGCCCCGACTCGGATGGCAAAGAGTATTCTCAAGCAATCGTTACAAGCACTGGCATTTCTTCACGAGAATGGCATCGCTCACGGAGACTTGCAACCGGGAAACATGCTCTTCGCTTTAGATGACGATATCGATATGCAACCCGAGGACGCGCTGCGCCAGGAGGAGAATGTGCAAACCGAGTCAATCTCGCCCCCGGTGCAGAGGCTAGACGGTAAACAAGACAAGTGGGCGCCTCGATATCTTTGTATTGCGCAGCCGCCGGCGCCATTTACGAACTACGCCAAAGGCTTCAAGATTAGATTATCCGACATGGGTGGCGGTTAGTACCTCTAGTTGCGGATTACCTCTATAGATATCTACTTACGCTCCAAACAGCATACTTCTTTACGAGCCCGCCGACAAAATCCATTACGCCTCGCGGACTCCGAGCTCCCGAGTTGGTTCTCACCGGAACTACCAACAAAACCCTCGATATCTGGAGTTTCGGCTGCCTTATTTTTGAGCTCATCACAGGACAACCCCTCTTCTGTTACCAGGGTCTAAATTTGAAGATGATGACCATCTCCTCTCTCTCACCGCCCGGCTCGGCGCCCTCCCTGATGAGCTCTGCAAGCATTGGAAGTCGTCGCCGCTCTACTTTACTGCGGGGAAGCTCTTTAATTGTCAGCCCGGGGGGGTTGCGGAAGGCGGGGAACCGCTCATGTTGGGGCAGACGTCTATGGAGGACTGGTTCGATCAGACATGCCCGGATCTTGACGAGGAGGAAGGCCGCCAAGTAAAGATGCTTATGCGATGGATTCTACAGTACGATCCTGCCAAGAGACCCTCGCCGGCGGAGATTTTGTCTGATCCGTGGTTTGGCGAGATCGAGGTGGAGAGCGGCTCGTTCAAATAAAAGGTGACGTAGCGAGTGATGTACCGTCGAGCAGAGGATGAAGAATCTGGCCATTTGTAACTGTCACATGTAAGCAGGGCACCTTGGCGTTAGATGATACGAATCTCTGTACTATTCGATACAAGGCCGTGATTAAGCTACAACGGAGAGAACTGTGCGCGCCCCCCTAAAAGGAGCGCTCGGCTCCACGCATCGCTGCGCGAATCATCGAAATTCCGAGACGTGGGACATGGTACCAAAGTGGAGAACTCTCCTGGATCCTGAAATATTTCTTTTTACCACCTCCGTTGTTACGGCTAAAATCCTCCCTCCCAAACTCCTCCCCGTCGAGTGGCATGTCCGGCTCCCACATGGCGACTTTCCACCGCTTCCCTCGCGTACCGTACGAGATCCGTGCCACGATATGGAGGTTGACAGCCGTGAGGCGCGAAGTTCAGATCAAAGCCAAGGACAAGCCAAGGACCGTCACCGACCCTCAACGCCCGGACGATGAGGACCACAGGGAAATCGCGTACCTGTACTCGCCGACACCTGTGCCAGCAGTTCTACACACCTGCCGAGAAAGCCCGTGAGAAGCTGTTTTACAAGGAGGAGACCGAGCCATGCTACGTTTGGGTCATTTTCGACCTGGACACGCTTGATGTTGGCCAAGACATCCAATGCCTCGAACACAACAAACCCCGTGTGCGCCAACTCGGCGTCGAGATTGAGGAAGACGAAGACGTCTTGCTGGAATCTCCGTGTCAAAATCTCTGCTCCTTTGAAAAGTTGGTGGGATGCCGCGTGACTGTTGACGGTCTGTTCGTTACGAAGTCGAGAAATTGAGTTGTATGATGAGGCAGACGCCTGGCCAGAGGATATGAACTAGCTCATACACTGCCTGATGTGTCCCAGAAATGACTTGACTCCAATCTCACAGTTCGATTCTCTGTTTTTTTTTTTTCTTTTTTTCTTGCAACTTCCACTGTGAGAAAAAACTCCTCTCAAAATGCGTCATAGTCGTTCCTCCGAATATGTGTCAACGGAATATAAGGGGGTATAGTTGCTATTCAATTAGAGCGCGTTCTTTTTGTGATAATCTAATCTAGCAAGATGGATTCCACGCCGAGATTTGAGAAAATCGGCAAAAACAGACATGTCCACCCTTCGAACTGATTGCTTTCTAAACGCTAGCCGACATCGTAGCTCGTTCCCATAGGCGCCAACTCTCGAATCGCAAGGATTCAAGTTTTTAGAGTGCTTGTCCGCCTAGTGACCCTCCCGCATAGACGCTTGAGTTGCACATTACCGGAGTGTTTCTCGGCATGACATGGCTGTGCGTGTGTTGAATAGCTAGCCTGCCATCTTGTTTGTTGCCGCCTTGTGGTGGTGGAAGCCTCCAGACAAAGATGTCAACATAGCATCTCTGCACACGGTTGTACTAGGCTTACTTCTGACGGGAATTGTTCGCGGGAAGCTCAAATATAAGTTTAATGTCAGATCATCTTGTGCCGCTCCAACGTCATCGAGTCCATATCTCATTCTCGCACTACGTGAATCAATTCAAGGTGAACATGGGGGAATAAAAGTGAGACGCAAACCCACAACATTGTCACAAAGCTTATTGTCATGATTTGTTCATGTGTAGCGCTGGGGGCGTCGACATGACACCTTTTGGGTCAATGGTTCGATTCAGGACTCCCGCAGAGTTGATCACGGGGACAAGTAAGCAGGCCCCTGCCCAAGTTCCCAAGTGCGACATTCAGAGTTTGGCCAAGTTTCCTGTGACCGTAAATATGGCGTCCTGTTCCACGTCTTCATGTGTCCTTCTGCGTGGCCCCCAACTTGTCATCAGTAATGGGGCAAATTGCCCCAGAATGAGTCGGAGACAAAACATACTGCCATCATGCCATGTCGCCGCCTTGGCCAAGCTGCTTGTACCGTTTTGCTAACTCTCTGGTTTGCAAGTTACATTGGGAAGCTTGCCTCTTGCCGTCTCTCGCCCTCCCAATGCCAGAAGAAGACGCCTGCCCCTGGTGATCTGAACGCCGAGCCCCGTGCCGGATCAACCGGATCAGATCACGGACCGGTCCGCCCCCAACGCCCGTGTGTCTCTGGCAATGTAGCCAATCGCTGTTGGCGTCCATGTCCAAATTGGACAAAGGCCAACTGCCGATCGGGGCGTTTGCTGAAAAAATAAAATAACGCTCAGGCTTCGAAATGCCTCTCCGTTTCTTCCATGTTGTAGCAGTGAAGAACAAAGTCACCAAGCATTTGATTGCCTTGTTCGCTTTCTTCCAGTGAAATCTATACAGTTCATCTATCGTCAATGGCTGCTTCCGCCGCAGCTGCCAATCGTCTGCAAGCCGCAACGGCCAAAGTGGCCCAAATTTGCGAAGCCTCCGGCGTCCCAGGAGCTTCAGTCGGAGTGATTCACCACGGGGCAACGATCTTCACGCATAATCACGGCTACAGCCATCTTGGAACCAAGACGCCAACGAGAAGTGATACAGCCTATGGAATCGGCTCCCTCACAAAGTCCTTCATCTCTGCCGCAATTGCAAAGCTAGTAGACGAGAAAAAGCTAGCTTGGGATACTCGCGTGGCCGATGTCCTCCCTGAATTTCGCCACGACAGCGACATCATCACGGAGATGACAACCATCACCGACATTCTCAGCCATCGGTGTGGACTCGGGGGTGCCGGCGCCATGAGCTTGGCCTTTCAGGGCGACGGCGATATGCTTCTTCCAAAAGACTGCCTTTTCCAGCTGGTCAATGACTTTCGCATACAATTTCCTTTCCGACAGCGATGGAGCTATTTTGTTTGGGGCTACTCTGTTGCAGGTGCGGTTATTGAGAGGCTGACTCAGAAGCCGCTGAAGGATCATCTCTTGGAGACGATTTTTCGGCCTCTGGGCCTAAAGGCCACATCGTTCAGCCCTCGAGAGTTCCAGCCGCATCAGCTATCATCTCCCCATGTCGGGCTGTCCGACGGAAGTGCCCATGCTCTTCGGAAACTTCAAGTCTTCGAGGACACCTTTTTCGAGGCCTCTGGGGGCATCTACTCAACGCTCAACGATCAGCTGACTTGGGCTTCTGCCATGCTTCAATCGGTCAATGGCAACGACCAAAAGTCTGCGGTGATCAAGCAAGTTTCATGCCTTCTCAGCAACCATATTGCAGTTTTAAACCCGACCGTTTCGGAGCGATCGTATGGTCTGGGCTGGATGCGAGCCCAACTTCCAGGCGTGGTTGGTCTTATCGGCGACAACGTAGGCTTGTGGGAGCTTGCAGACGAGCCGGTGCTGGGGACCAAAGACAAGACCATGTTGATGATCTATCACCAGGGGAGTACTGTTGGGTATCGTGCATTTACGGCACTTTTCCCAGAAACAGACTCAGCAGTGGTGGTGCTCACGAATTCTTCAGATGTGAGCGATGCAGCTGATTGGATTGGCCGGGTGTTCATTCAGGCCCTGTTCGAATTCGACGATGGCAATGACTATGTTGCACTTGCCAAGGAAGCTAACCGTCGCACTCTGGCGCAGTTTGATCGAGTCGGCAAGGAGATCAAGGACATGAGGGCAGCTTGTCTTGGGTCACAGCCGCGAAGGCTCACAACTTTCACTGGGAGATACGTGCATTCGTCAGAGCTCTTCTTCATCGACATCTCGCTCCAACCCACCGAATCGGATCGACTATATCTGAATTTTCAAGGACTCAAAGATCAGACATATGAGCTGAGACATCTCTGCAATAATGTATTCGAATGGGCTCTTACACACGATGAGTCTAAGAAACGGGGTAGATACAACTACGTTGAAGCGGAGTATTACCTATTTGATTTCCGACTAGATGAAAAGGATGAGCCGGTATCTTTCTCCTGGGCCATTGACGATGAGCCAGCCGTGTTTACAAAATTGTAGATGAAAAATGCGGAGAATATCTTGCATGAGGCGGTTGCATTATTGTATCCAGGTCAGAGCGCCTGGTTGGAGTTTATTCCTTGCCGATATTGGGATGCAAAAGAATAGGAGGAACTGGAACAGTTCTGAGTGTATAAAACGATGGGATGCAGAGCATTTCATCTCTGTAAAATGCAGAGAAAGTGTGCTCCAAGTGTGCGCAGTGTCCGAAAGAGGAAATTGTAAGATGCGGAGAAAATCCCCAACTCGGACCGCCCACGTCACACCGTCATCCTTTCCTGACCACCACAATCTTCCAACCGTGCTCTCCTCACCAGCAGCCAGCTTGACCCTGCAAATGCCGCGCCGGCTCCGGGCCAGCCATGGAACTGGCCAATCTGCCGACGGAGCTGCTGCTACACATCGCCAAGGCCCTTGACCGAGACGGCGACATTTACGCCCTCTGCCGCGCCAGCCGGGGCTTTCACAACCTCGCGATACGCCACCTCTACCGACACAACGCAACGGCCCCCGACATTGAGAGAAGCGCCATCCTCTGGGCCGCCAAGCACGGACAAGTGTCGACTGCCGAACAGGCCCTGCTAGCCGGCGTCGACGTCAACGCGCCGCAGGGCCAGCCGGGCACCCTGCCTCTCGTCGAGGCCACGCGCTTCGGAAACGCCAACATGGCCAGGCTGCTCCTGGACAAGGGCGCGGATCCCAACGTGCTGCACGGCAAGGCCGGCACAGTCCTCCATACGGCCGCGGCCCAGTGGGACATGGGCACGGCGGCGGCGCTCCTGGAACACGGCGCCGACGTACACGCGCAGCGGCTCGACAACGGCGAGACGCCGCTCCACACGGCCATCAACTCGGGCGCCATCATGACCGGCGGCGCGACCGAGATGCTCGGCCTGCTCCTGGACCACGGCGCAGGCGTCGCCGACGCAGACTTTGTCGGCGCGACGCCGCTGCACTGCGCCGCGGCCTGCGGCAACATCGCCGCCATCCACGTCCTGCTCGACCGCGGCGCCGACGCAATCCTGTCGTCCCGGGGCACGCACCGCGAGACCCCGTTGCACGCCGCCGTCCGAGTCAGAAACGAGGCCGCCGCCAAGGTCCTGATGCAGCGCGGCGCCGACGTCGAGGCCCCCGACGCCCGGGGCAAGACGGTATTCTGGCACGCCATAAAGTTCGGGTGCCCTGCCATCCTCGAGATGCTCCTCGACAAGGGCGGCGATGCCAGTCCTCGGCACCCAAACGGCAGCCTGCCCCTCGTGCAGGCTGCCCGCAAGGGACACGTGGCGGTTGTCAAAGTCCTGCTCGCGCACGGCGGCTCCGACATTGAGGCGGACCCGGAGCTTGGGGAATCGGCCATGTTGGCGGCCGTTGCAAAGGGGCATTCCGGGGTTGTCCAGGCCCTGCTTGACGCGGGCGTCTACATTTGCACCAGGGACAGCGTCGGCAACACCCTGTTGGTCCAAGCAGCATTCCGCGGCCACGACGACGTCATCGATGTGCTGATGCGCAACGGCGTCGCTGCGGCCTATTGCCGTGAGTGGCCTGCGCGGGCTGGCCGTCCGTTGTAGAGATGCTGCTGGCCAACGGGGCTGGCGCAACACTTTGGGGTAAGGATGGGCGGACCTCTGTGAATCAATGCAGAGCCGTCGTGTCCCGTGTGCTGTTCTCGAGTCTTGAAAATAGTGGCCGAGTGACTGGTAGTGCTGTTTGCGGCACGGCATAGCGCGGGAGTTTACGTTGGGGAAGCACGCTCTTATCACCGACACTTCGTGACTAGCTGGAAGATCTGGGAATATTTGCTAGAAAAATTCATGTGCTTGGGATGCCAAACCAGCCAGTCTTCCAGGCGGAAAGGCCTGCGATTCCTGACCCGTTTGTATCATCGGCTGTGCTTTGCGAGTAGGAACCCCGGAAACCGACGGAGACTGAGGGAACTACCTCTTCAGGTATTCAAGTCTGGCCTCTTGACTTGCATAGGTTCCGTGCCTGGGGAAGGGGAGGATTCCCTCAACTGTGAGAGTAGTGTTTAGATGGCATATCCAACACACGCCCTAATTTTGCCGCGGACCGCACCGTAGCATATTGTGCTATGTGATTGTTGTACTTGTGTATATACGCGGGAGGGTATGTCCCGTGCAAGGCAGAGCGGTGGTAAGAAATATTCACACCATGCTACACGGCTTCTACGGCCTCCTGCCCAGTGTCTGCTTCTGGCGCCGGCTCCTACGAAGCGTTATCCTTCTGCTACTTGGGCAAGGTCTTGAACGTCAACACTTACCGTCTTGGGAGACGCAGGTTCCTCAGCATTAATAGTCCTGGCAGTTTCGTCCACCCTCGGCTTGAGGACATCATGCTCATGGCTCACCGCTTGCTGAGAGTGTGTGACTGTATCGCGCTGGGGGGTTGTTTGTCTCGCGCCATGAGTTGTTTGCCGACAAACACCTGACCCAGGCCCTAGTACCGCTTCTAAAAATCCGTCGGGGTGAGTAGTGCTGTAGACGGGGATGTGGTGTCTGCGTTTACGCCTCCTATGGCGCCTCCTCCTGGCAGGAAAGTCCAACTCTACGGACAGTGTACATCCCATAGTGATGTAGAGTTGTATTTCTGGAGATGGAGGCACAAGGAAACCGGAGGAGGAAAGTCCCACACAGAAAAAAAGCAAGTTGGCGGTGGGATGCTGCGATTGTTATTGTGGACGTATTCCAGAAGAGGGAGTTGAGATTCAGGCAATGTTACAGGAGAAGAGAGGGTATATTGCATCAGAAGGATATTTATTATCCATGACTCTGTCCCAGAGTGATTCATCGTTGGCATTTTGTCCGTTGTTAGACTTGTGCTCGGAGATGAACCATTCCTCGCCGTGCGACTGGCTGTTGTATTTGTCTCCAAAGTACGTCGCACATGGAGCCAGGCCGCTTGGATCAAGAGCAGTGAATAACAAGAAGCCAACAGAGACGTCACCTCTTCATTGCAGCATACTCAAAAAGCAGCCGCTCCATAACAATATCCCCAGTCTTACCCCCCCTACGCAGTAACTCTGACGCCCTTCTCTCTATCATCACCAGACACCACGCCCTCGTCGACATCCCCAGCCAAACCCTTCAAATCAGCCTCGCCCATCTCGCCATTCCACCCATTCGCCAACAAGTACGCCCTAAACTCCTCGTCCCGCTTGGCCAGATCCTCTCCCGTCAACCTGGGCACAAAGAAGTACGTGACCAAAACGCCCACCACACCGCATATAGCCGCGACAATGAATGTCCACTTCTTGCCGAATCTATCTTGAATCGGCGTAAACGCCTGTGTTCCCACAGCAGCGCCCGCCTTGCCAATGGCCGCACTGAGGCCGTAGCATGTTCCACGGACGCTGGTGGCGTAGCTCTCTGAAGAAATGAGGCCGAGCATATCGCCCGGGCCCAGGTTGCCAGAACTCTGCATGAGGCCGTAGAAGATGACGAAGAGGGGAATGATGGCGGTGATCTTGTCGTAAGCGCAGCCGATGATGAGCCCAAAGACCAAGTATCCTGAGAAGCCGATCATCATGACATTCTTGCGGCCCAGCCTGTCGCAGAGGAATGCGCCCAGGAGAACGCCGGGCAGCGCAATGGCGCCGAGGAGAAGCTGCCACTCCGCCGTGCTGCGGAGAGTGCTGCCGGTCTTGGAGACGACGCTGGAGATGATGGTGCCGGAGAAGACGCCGTTGGGAAAGGTGACAAAGTCGTAGAGGAACCAGGCGCCGCAGGTGCCAATCAGTGTTTTCCAATAGTACCTGACGACCAGGCCGTAGGGAACGTGCTTCTTGATGGCGCCGCGGCGGTACAGCTTGGAGTTGAGCATCTTGAGGCGGAAGTAGAAGACGGTCAGGGGCAGTACGACACCGATGCCGAAGCAGACGCGCCACACGGTTGAGAGATTGGTCTCGCCGGCGGCGGACAGCACGATGAGGAAGACGGACACGGCGAACGGGCCGCCAAACGAGAGAGGGAGATTGGTGACGAGGATGAAGACGGGGCCGCGGTTCGCCGGGGTGTGTTCGTTGGCGGCCTCGGATGCAGATGTACTGGCGGCAGGGTACTCACCACCTAGAGAGCGTCAGACTGCGGAAACAGGGCTTGAGCCATAATGTATGATGATGGACTGGGTAAATCGAAGGGATACCAGCTCCGAAACCAACAATACCTCTCGAAACAGTCAGCATCCAAAACATGCCGTCGATAGTGACGCCATGAGAGGCGGGGGGCCGGGGTCCCCCCAAACAATGAGCAGCGTCGTCGTGATGATGGCCGTCTTGCGGCCCATGTAGTCGCAGGTCAGGCCGACGACGACTTGGCCAAGAATCTCGCCGACGAGGAGGGCGTTGGAAACGCGGGTGCTGACTGAGGAAGTGTACTCGTTGGGGTATTCCCTCTTGAAGAGCACGTTGGCCATGGTCATGAGATTATTCTGGTAGCCGTCGGAGATGAGGGCGAAGCCAGAACAAAACTACAGTCGTCAGTTGAAGTTGGGGCAAGCGGACAAGGGAACCAACAAATGGCCATCTCCATTGGTCCTAGGCTGCGAGGGGTGAAGAAAATGCAGGCTTACAATTGTGAATATATCAGACAACCTCTGTCGTCTGCTGGAAGCCCGCTCGACAGCAGCAACTTGCGCCTCAGAGTCTCCCTTGGTCGCATCGTGATGCTCCCCTGGAACAACAGCAACGGCCTTGTCCTCCATCATGCGCAGGAACAAGTAGTTGGGACACAAGTCAACGAACAATAAATGGGTTTAAAGCCGCTGCTCCCAATTTTGTTTCTTTTCTCTTTCCCGGCCAGGCACGCGCACGGGGTTATCAATATCCCAGCGCGACAATTCAGTATCAATGGTAAATATGTAGAAACCGAACCACGATGCTGCTCCTCCATCCGCGAATTGACGCGAAAAAAGAAGAACCCATCCCTCCCACTAATAAAAGAAAAAAACTAAAGTCTAAGCCCGCACAACTAGAATCCTGCCATCCTTTCATCCCGCACACGTGCCAGAAAGATCAGCGTCTCACAAGCTAGCCGTGCCGAGTCCCGAACGAGCCCAGAGATGATGCTGCAGGCGGGACGGAATTTGGGAATGTACAGAGCTCTTTTTATTCATAAGTGGAGGGCTAAATTAAAGTGGACACGTGCACGAGTTCGGGCAAGGATTGCAGATTGGTTCACCTCGAGCGAACAAGTACGAAAGTCATGGTTGAAGATGTGTGACAACGCACCCGTCCCCACCTGCAGATGGTTCTTCTCCACGTTGATTTCGCCGTGAGTCGGCTTTGTGAGGCATGACTGGCTGGACTTGAGCCTTCGTCCGCTTGACGGGGTGGAATTTTTGTGCCAGGTCGAAATTGTCCGAGACACCTGGGGTTGAAAAACCATAACCCAAAGGAGAGCGGGGAAAGGTATAATCCGGCCTTTTGGGGTCAATAGCGGCAGGCACTTTCTTAGCAGCTTGTCCGTCTACCAAGAGGCTTCATATTCAGCAACAGCGGCAGCCCAAGAGGCCCGATTTGAACAGCTCCAAAGGCTCCGACTTGGCCGCATTGTACAGCTTTGCCTTCGTCTATGCCAAGTGCTCACGTTGGCATAGAAATGCTTTGGCCATGCCAAATCCCGTCACAAACCTCAGCCGGCCGGGACGCCACGATAATTTCGGAGCCTTCACTCTCACCAAGCCCATGGCATGTCCTGTCCGTACGCCGACTGTGAGACCCATCGATGGATCGTCTTCGGGCGCCATCGTAGAGCGCGTCTGGCCTGCGGCGCTTCGCATTATCCGGTTTCGCCATCCTCCGTGTCGTGAATACCGGGCTCCTGTCGCCCCGGGCGGTAAGAGTGTATCGGATTTGGTTGATGGCTCGGCGGCGTGGCGTCAGATGCTATCCTGCACAGTGCCAGTCGTGCAGTAAACGCGACGGCAGGCTCAAGACCTGATCCATTACCGGACGAGTCGAAGCGCACACGGCAGTTCCTAGTCATTTTCCACGTGTCAACAAAGAGTTTGGTTGAGACAAAACGGGAGCGGAAAGCTCTCAGCCTTGAACCATCATGGTGTCACAGTCACAGTACGGAGTAGCAGCAAACACTTTCGCTCAAGGTAACACAAGAGTTCTGCTCCGGCGTATTCGTGCTCAGGGCGCACACGCGTGCCTCAGCGAATCGGAATTGTGCACCTCCGCACCTCCGTAAGCCGCTCAAATAAAGAACAGAGAAACAAGCCACCGTCTGCCACGTTTGGCCGGGTTTCGGGCGTCTTGCGCTGCAGAAGCCGTCTGCACAAGCCACAGCCGCCCCATCCCAATGTGGAGGCAATCTCCGCTTGGAGAAAACCCCTTCCGACATTTCTTTGGCTGATACAAAAAGAACTCCAATGTTGGACCTCTTCATTTCTGGCGCCTCACGCGTCCCGCTTCCTGCTTCCCAACCTTCCCTCCACATCCTTCCTCTGCCATCTTGACAGCTTCCTTCCTACTCTAGAGGCCATTTCCTTGCCTGCCGCTGTCCGCTTGAATTCCTCCCTCGGCTGAGAAGCGGCTGCTGCCCCCGGGTCTCAACGGCGCACAGAATAGCTCGCCGTTCTACTCCTGCGCTTTGCTGCGTCTGGATACCTCTGCGCAACCCCCCCTTTATGAGGATTTCCTTCTCCTCTCACCCTCACACGTCCTCTCTGCCGATTGAGCTGGCTGGCCGGCAAATACTACAAAATGGGCGCCCTATACTACCTTCTGCACCCAAACCAGCTGCGCTCCATTATTCAATGGTATGTTTGACTGTTACCCTCGGTACAGCGCCATACGACGCTTTAGCAATGCATTCTACAGAACATGACCGTGACCACGGCTGTCGCTAACACCCTGTGACTGCAGGAAGCTCTGGCACAACCCTGTCCACAGGCGCGATCCTTCCACAGAGTCGGAAACCTTGAAAGAATGCTTCCGCTTCCTCAACTTGACTAGTCGCAGCTTCGCCGCTGTCATCCAAGAACTCAACCATGAGCTCCTTGTCCCCATTAGTCTGTTCTATTTGGTACTGCGAGGCCTTGATACCATCGAAGACGATATGACGATACCGTTGAGCAAGAAGGTGCCTTTACTGCGCAACTTTCACAACACCATGGAGATTGATGGCTGGCAGTACCATGAGAGCCAAGAAAAGGACAAGGAGCTCTTGGAAAAATTTGACGTCGTAATCACCGAGCTCAAAAAGATTAAGCCAACTTACTATGCCATCATCAAGGACATTACCATCAAGATGGGCCATGGCATGGCTGACTACGCCCAAAACGACGAAATGATCAAGAATGGTGTCAATACCATCGACGACTATGAGCTGTACTGCCACTACGTCGCCGGTTTAGTTGGTGAGGGTCTTACCAAGCTCTTTGTCGCTTCAGAGCTAGGTAACCCCAAACTCGCAGAGCGACCATCCCTGACCGAGTCCATGGGCCAATTCCTCCAGAAAACCAACATTATCCGTGACCTCCGGGAGGACTGGAGCGACGGTCGCCGCTGGTATCCCAAGGAGATTTGGAGCAGGCACGTGGACAAATGGGAGGACTTGTTTGACCCAAAGCACGAGGACAAGGCCCTGAATTGCATATCAGACATGGTTCTCGATGCCTTGAAACATTGTGAGGAATGTCTCTTTTACATGGCCGGCATGCGCGAACAGAGTGTCTTTAACTTTGTTGCTATTCCGCAAGGCATGGCCATTGCTACTCTGGAACTCGTCTTCCGCAACCCCGACGTGCTCAAGCGCAACGTCAAGATCACAAAGGGCGACGCCTGCCAGCTCATGACCGAGTGCACACAAAACCTCTACACCGTTTGCGAGGTATTCCGCAGATATGCCCGACGAATTCAGAAGAAGAATGACCCCAGAGATCCCAATTACCTCAACATTAGCGTGCGATGCGCCAAGGTATGCCAGCTCAGCTCCAGCTCTACTCTCAAGTTAAACCTACTGACATGTCGATTAGATCGAACAATTCATCGAGACGCTTTACCCCCGTCAGGACCCCAAGCAGCTCAACTTGGAGAATCATCAGAGACAACGAAATGAGCCTACCATGGACCCTGGCGAGACCCTCGTCATGTTTGGGGTTGTTGCTCTCTGTCTCATATTTGTTTCTGGCCTGATGGTAATCACGCCCGTCTTCTTATAACACGCAAGATGCGACTCTTAACTAACGCGCCCACAGATTGGGACCGCATGGTTATTAGGGGCTAAATTCCCGAACATCTTCAAAGAAGCCAGCATCCTGCTTCAAAAGCTGAATGACCCCGCACCAGCAGTCACGACAGCCATCACGACCGCCCGAGACGAACTGTAAAGACTTGATTCCCCCCTTCCCTGAAGCCGCTTCTCCATCACTGTTTTTTTTTTTTCTAAACAAATATTCATGCACCTCTTTGTCCTACTAATGAGCATTTAACGGGCGAATGGACAAGTTCTTGGGCTACACTACATACGACCTTCTAATACGAGTAATTTACTGATCCCGCGGCCACCCACTGATTCTCTGCTCTCCCAGTATCGTCAGAACGTACATGGGGCCTCGGCCCAGCACGGATGTCAAATTGCAATCTGGTCCTTTAATGACCGCGGTTGTGCCGAAGAAGTGCTAAAAGTAATCACCATGCTCCATGCTTCTCCTGTGGAATGGCCCAACTGAGTCTTTGTCATGACGGGTTGACGGGTGCCGAGACTCTGTTGGCGAGCAACATTTTTTCGTAACGTCCTTTTGCCTTTACCGTGGATTCTGTGCTCTGAAGGTCAAATGGATGGGTGCTTTTTGTTAGGGGACGGGACAGTGCCGAGCTTTGCTGCTGCATCATGTCTAGTACCCCAGATCTAGCTCCCACACCGATGTTAATTGCTCCATAGAAATCAGGTTTTATGACGTTGCATTGCCCTTCCGTTCCGCGCTGCTGCCAATATAGCGATCAAGCTCCCTGGCCGATACGTTGTGCATGGACATGCGCTCCTCTGAAAGAAAAAAGAAGTCGGCTAAGATAATTATCCGACGACCTACGCGGTGCTTTATCCGTGGTAGTCTTCGTGTTGATGCTTGGGGACATGGGCAGGCATGCGCCTCGAATAGCCCGGCTCGAATAGAGCGTTTGAAGCACAAAGGCCTGGTAAGTAGTCCCAACTCTCTTCAAAAACGCAGCCACGAAAACACCCGCACAAAGTCTGCCGTTTATATCTACAAAACTGGATATACACCCCAATAAGCTTGGTCAATCGTATCACAAGAGACATTTGAATGGATAGATTGAAATTTCTGCCAAGGCGGGATGTGGCGTGTCCGTGGCGGACTACATGGAAAATACGGCGCCCATTTTTTCAACTACTCTTCTGGTAAGCTACGAGGTCTTGAAAATTCCCAATCTCAAACAACCCCCCCAACTTCAACACGGTAGTTGCGCAGATTAATTCAAGGCGGCGGCCGTATCCGGTGTACCCTGGGCCGGGCCATCTCCAGTCAGGAACTCATTTTTATCTTTTTGGTTTCCATTGTTGGCAATCAGGGGCGTTGTGCCACTCTTGCCGTTCCCCACCTGAGCTTGAGTGTTCCCAGAGAGTTGCTTCAGCCGGGCGGTTACATTAGCGGGACTGTCGATATTCTCCAACGTCATCAGGTATGCGGCAAGGCCGGCAACATGAGGAGAGGCTATAGATGAGCTCGGTTAGTCGTGGCCAGGTGGGAAAATGGTGGTGATGCTGCTTGAACTCTTACCCATGCTGGTCCCGCTTTTAACCGACACGTCCGTGTTAGAGTTGATACCACAAGACTGAACCTTGACACCAGGGGCATTGATATCGACGTCCCTGCCAAAGTTTGAGAAGCTAGCCTTTTGATCGGTGTTGGCATCTACGGCGCCAACGGTGATGGCGTTGCGGGCAGAGGCTGGCGATGTGTTGGCTGCGTCTTGCTGTAAGACTCTGTTAGCGCCTGTCTCATCTTCACGTATCATGACAGTGGCAGACTTGGCCATTTGGAGTGACATGCATTCTCATTTCCGGCTGCGACCACAGGGACAATGCCGGCTTTGAAGACATTATTCATGGCCGCGTCCAAGGCCTGTGACTTGCCTCCACCCAATGACAGGTTCACAACTGCCTTGCCCTGGAGGTTGTTCTTTTGCACATCATTAACGACACTCTGCAAGCCTGCGATGATGTCCGCGTTTTGTCCTTGGCCGTTGGCGTTCATGACCTTGACGCACTTTACCGTGGCCTTTTTAGCAACGCCAAAATTCTTCCCACCAATTGTGCAAGCGACGTGGGTGCCGTGGCCGTTGGCGTCGGTTGCCTACTCATCATTAATATGTGAAGCGTCCACGTATAGTCCTTTGTGGAGTGTACAAACATACTTTCTCGCCTCTAACAAGGTTGGCAATTGTAGTAGCACGGCCTTCAAAATCCTGGTGGGTGGTTAAACAGCCAGAATCAACCACGTAGGCAGTAGTGGTGTTGCCGGCAGATGAGTCAAACACGTAAGCTCCTACATTTTTTATTTATCCAGTCAGTCGATGCAATGAGAGGCCAGGCTTTCATGGCCACCACACCACCAACACCATCGAGCGTAGAAAGAACAAAGTGTAGAGGCGGGGGGTTTTTCACCTTTTTGTTGTTGCTGGCCTACCGGAGCAGCTTCTGACAATCGCTGCAATCCAGGGGGGGCATTCTGTTGCACAACAAGCTCCGACGTCGACATCCACTGGTCGGGCTCGACATAATCCACCTCGTCAGCATCGCCAATCTCCAATGCCATGGATTCCTCAGCCTGAAAAGTCATGGCATGCCATGTGTTCATCTTGATGGCCCGGACGTCGGTCGAAAGTGGCTCGCCTCCAGGTCCACGTTTGTTCAGGTTGCGCTTTTTGAGTTGGGCAGAGACGGAAGCCGTCATGGCCTTGACAGCCTTTTCGCTGGTGGTATTCTTGTAGACAGCGATGTAGCTGTTGGGGACGATCTTGGAATTAGCATTGACGTTGCTCTTTGCCGGAGTGGGCGAAGCATTCTTGTCGCCGTTCTCGTTCGGCCCGTTCTGGCTGGAGCCCAGGCCGAGGAGGCCAAAAAGACCGCTGTCGCCGCCGATGGGAGCGGGAGAAGCGGCAATCAGTTGTACCCAGAGGAAGACAGCCCCCAGAACGATGTTTCTCATGGACGCCATGATGGGCTAAGATTATCAACGGACAAAGGCACAAGTGCGTATCACCCAGCCAGTCCTTGTTGAAAAGTGATGGGACAGTGAGGGCCGATCCCGCGGATCACTCCGCCGGTATGTATGAAATGGTGAAAACAAGAAAACAGAGGACGGACAATCCACCTAGAGTTTGTCTAGAGGGAACCTGACAAAAAACTGGGCGTTCAGCGCTGCTCGGCAAGCGCTGGGACAACTTGAAGAAGAAAAGAGAAATGATTGATGCCGACCTGCCGGATCTATCAGATTGCAGAAACAGAAACAAAGAGAGGGACAGGATGAAAAAAGCATGGGCAACCAAGGGAAGAAATACTGTAACGGATGACGCGAAGCAGGGGTTAAAATACAAGAAGGAGAATTAAAAGTGGCATGGTGGACATGGGGGCTCCGAATGGCCTCGAGACGAGATGGATATTGTCGCATCTTGGCCCCAATCTCGCGATCAATGACATGGCTCTGCCAGCAATGCTGACTGGGCCCAGCAAATGAAGTGCTGAGCCTGCATAGTAAGACGTCTCACGATTCTGGTCGCATCGCGGCCGCATGGAGGCAGTACCTGGGACATCTGGGGCATGAAGTGTATCTTGTGACATTACCCTCCACCCGTTGAGCACGGCAGGCCTGCCGAGACATAGCCCTCGAGTGACAGCAACCCGCAGCATAGTACTTCTCAGGAGTGAGACCGAGCACAAGGCAAGCTCTCCTTGGCTGCGGCGTGAAGCGCCGCCGTATGGGTTTCGAAAACGGTCTGGTATGGGCGGCGTCGATTTAGATGTCGATGTCGATGGGGCTGGGGCCGTCAAAGCCGGTCCAGTCAAGTCAATGCCAAGACTCAACAAGCACGAGGGTTCAATAATGTATGTATGTACGTACCGCTACCCGAAAGTGAAGCTTGTCATCTCTCTTTGTCCTCCTGCACCCCATGACAAGGATGAATTAGCCAGCGCTCATGACTAAACCGGCCAAGCGGGCCAGGTCCAAACGCCGGGCGCGTGAACAACCAGGGTGGCATCAACGACATCGGATCAGGGGCCGAGTACACAAGTCAGCTCCAGACAGTTGGGCGGGTCGCGCTTCAAATGACTGCTTTCTACCGCGGGTTTTTGTATTTACCACTGCGCGGTGCAACAATGAACTGATGGAGGCAGCATTCCAAAGTCGCAGCAGGAGAAGACTGACGAACTGGTCTGTCGGACAGGGAAGGAGCGACAGCCAAAAACAGACATCGGGAACCTTGCTCCTGTCGTAGACACAGATGTACCAAGACCAAGTACTCTGAATCTACGATGAATGCTATGTACTCTTGACATTTCAGCCACCGCGACAGCTGAATCAAATCTCGTTAAGAAACAAAAAAAAAAAAAAAAAAAAAAACCCTTAAGGTTAATTGGCAAGCCGACCTATACTTCCCACCGAGACTACGCACGTCTGTCCCGCATGCTGCACATGCGCCTCCGTGGCCCCTCCGTGCCCCGTGCCTCCGTGCCAAGCCATCCCCCTCATACGGCTACGGTTTTGCCTCGACGGCTGTCGATCCAAATCGAATGGGCAAGTCAGCCTTGTTCAATGTAGTACTCGGTTCGACGTATTCTACTCCGTAGTCCTGTGGCAGCGAATTCCGTCGGGGTCCAATCTATATGAGAACGTACCCGACACCAGCACCCCACACAACAGAAACGCCGCACGCTTCGACGCCAGACTTGGATACTGTTGTCCTCATTCATCTTTGTCGCAGATTGAGGTGTGTTCCTATTTGAAACCTGCCTCGAAAAGTAGCCCGCGCAGTCCCTTGATTACGATTCCGCAACAATTTTTCGTCATCCCACGCCGCTGGGTTATCCAAGCCCGCGATACGACAAATGCATATGGCGACCAGTGCATGCTTCTCTACGTTGCGAGCACTTAGTGTACTCCCTAGTCAGAGCCATCAAGCAATCTTGCCATCCAGGACGGTTGCATTTCTGCCGTTTCCAGAAACTAGCCCGGAACGCGAGATAGTCATTGCGTCGAAGCATGCGGCGATGATCATTGTTTCGATCCACGAGGCGGCATGTGAATCCTCACATCCGTATATGTTTGTGGCGTTTCCAAAGCTGGCATCTAACTCGGGCACTGTTCCAACCCGAGGAACCTAGAACGAATGGCAAGCTGCAATTGCCAGATGCAGCCTCCATGAACTCTCACGCTCTGCCCGCCTGACCAACAAACCGACCAAGAGAAAATAGGCACCCTCAACTCCGCGCCTATTGCATGTTTCCAAAGCGAGGAAGCCCTCTTTGTCATCCCCCATTACGAGTTCTGTAATAAAGTCATGAGCCATCTCGCGCTCGGAAGCCTGGAGCTCCGTCTATGCCGCGCCGCCGTGCTTCGGCCTTACTATCAAGCAGCAGGGGGTTCTTGAAAGTGAAATAGTTCCCTAGCACGAAATTCTCCCTTAGCCTAGGAATATGAGTTCATGCGAGACACGACGTGCAAACCGCCCGGTGTGCAACAATCGGAGCAGATTCCCCAGTGCTCAGGCCTAGGAATACAAAGCTGACAGGCGATCTGTTTAGCGCATTCCACACGAATTATAAGATGACTTTAACTTTTTGTCAGAGAGCCGAATTTCAAACAATTATGCGATAGGCAATTTTCGTGTGGACATGACGCTAGCGAGTCGTTGCAGGACACAATGGCTTGAAAGAGGCTCTGATACACTTGTTTGATCGCCAACCTTTCAGCCCAGCCGTCCTATGTTCTCGGTTTGATAAGTCGTCTGTATTGCAGACACTTTTGTCAAGAAGAGTCAGTTGCTTTTATTCTTTGAGCACAACCCCGTTCGCCTGATTTACTAGCCCCCGAATCTCCGGATCGTATCCTAGGGTGGAACTTGAGTCTTTTTTTTTTCGCATTTCAATGCATTCTTCATCCGGCTTCAATTTCGCGTTTGGGCTGCATTTTTTCGGAGTGGCCTCGGAGCGTGTGGGTGCTGATAGGAACGGTTCCTGTTGTCGAGGTTCCCCGATGACGTCGGCCGACTTACTGGCCGTCCATTTGGTCCTGGCACGCTATAATTTGTACAACGCCTTGAGGATTGCCAAAAGTTCGGATAGTTTTACGATGCTTCATGCCCACCCTGCGGATTGTCATCTTCCGTGGACAAAGTCCCTTGGTCACGACGAGGGTCCTTTGACACCGCGGCTACGGAATGCATCGCCCAACAGGCGCCGCCCACTGGTTTCCGAGAAAGCCCGGAGCAGTAGCACAGACGACGGCTCGGCGAAGAGTTGAAAGAGAATCATCTGTTTTCACGATCCTACTAGCATGGTCCATTGGGGCGCACCGGAAAGCCCCTGCTTCCGCTGGGGGTGACCAATGCATACGACTCGTGAGCCGAAAGTCGCGGAAGCATCATATCACACCTATCCCATTTACGGTGATTTATTTCTCCCGGAAGATCTCTCTCTGGGTAATGACTGACACGCTGCCAGAGAACAGCCCGTCACTCATACCCAAGTTGGGTTGGCAATTCCATCAGCGCTAGGTATCACTGTCCACATCCGCAAATTTTCACATTCATATTTCTTGGAAACATCCATGGATCGAAACAGTCCAGATTTATCTGAGTGCCGGAAATCCTATTTTCTCAACTGTACGCCTGCTTGTCCGTTCGTGGGGAAGCGTTATATACAGTATAAGCAAGATGCGGGACCAAGCAGACAGCCGTGTCGACAGCATCACAGACAGCTTTTGCAACGACTGACGGCGGACAGGTTTGCAGAAAGTTTGTAACTATAAGTCACTGATCATATTAATAACAGCGATTGGAAAATCCCAGCCAGAAATCATCTCTTTACTTTTTTTAAAAAAAAGTAATAACAGGAATTTAGGCCTAAGACTGTACCTGGGGATAGGTAATACTTATAACACGGTTTCGTCAAGTATCCTTTTAAATGATACGAGTAAGCCTTTGTGTACTTTTCTGAACATCGAATATTAGTGGAATACTTTCAGATGGTAAAGGAACTCGGGCCAGCTCTTTCGGTTAGCCTTCTTGTCCCCGTTTTCGGGCTACTATGGCCTGCAGCAAAGACATTAGTCAAGAGATGGCCAAAGAAGGTATCAAGAGCGACAGTGGTACACTTGTCGGCTTTACAGTGGGTATATCCGACCAAGGGCCGCTATTTCGAATGACTTTGTCTTGTCCAACTGCTAAACTCAGTTCTCGTCATGTTAGAAGCTTGATGAATCCCTCCCAAGGGGCAGATGGCCTTTGTCACCCAGTCCCTATCCTCCTCGTCTGCTGACCAAGCGCATTGTTCCAGTGCCCTGCGGTGCGAATGTCGTGAATTCCATTTAAGCTGCAGCAGAAACTTCAAGTGCACCACGCTTAGAAACAGTCGAATTATGTCGCCGCACGCAGCACAAAATACCTTGTAGCTCACCGACAATACCGGTACCGGGTAGGATGACCAATTAGTAGACCATGAGGACTGCGACGCCAACCCGCAAAAAGACGCCGTTCCGGCTGGACCCGATGCTCAAATTCCACTAGACGTCGCACGGTGGTGCAACCGGATTCTTCTCATCTCACAATCAACAACACATACATGTTTACGCAAATAAACTACATTTAATTTGAACGCAATTGACCAGTACCCATTTCACAATCGCACAGAGCCTTGTCGCGACGCGACAGCGAGAAGCAGCAGTTCCTCATGACACCGGTTCCCAAGCGGCGGGCCGTTGGTCCATCCGAGCGGGCAGCCAGACTCGTAAGCAGCCAGCGCGCACACAAAAACAAGGTGAAGCACCGCATCATTCACCTCGAATCCAGGCTCCTCGCCACAGAATGCAAGCTTGAGCGGGCCCTGTCTGCCATATCTACTCTGTCAGGCGAACTGCGCGCCGTCATTGAGCAGAACAAGCGCCCGCAGCCGCGGCGGTGCAGCTCCGAGCCCCCCACCAGCAACCCGTCGTCGTCGCGCGCGGCGCAAATGTCCGAGGCCGCCTCTCGCGCGCAAAGGGAGCACGTTCAGAAGCTCACTCTCCCCTGGGAGAACGACGCCAACCCAGAGGACTTTTCGTGGAGCTCCGCCTTTTTGGAGGGCGTCAACGTCCGCGGGCGCGGGCACACGGGGCCGGTCGCGGGGGGTGAGACGTGGGAAGAAGCGGACGAGTCGACCACGGCCACAAACGACACGGGCAGCCAGGACACACATGCCACCCCGGCGTCGACGGAAGGCCTCGCGGAGGAGCTGCCGCATGAATCGTACGATAGCCTTGACATTGCCGCTATGCGGGATTGGATCGATCCCCAGTTTGAGAAGCCGTATGGGACGCCGGACGATGGCAGGATACAGCCGTCGTCGCTGTTTGCGCTGATGGATTTTATCAGTAGTTAGAGTGTGTTTTGTTTGCGGGCAGCGAGGAGTAATCTACGTATTGTACTCTGTAATGCTACTTGGGTTGAGACAGATGTGACTTGGCTGGGACGAAATTCTTGATGAAGCAAAAACGTTGGTTCATGTCGACGTTCCAAGAATAGCTGACAACTCCACTATGAACCGACAACTGCCTCCATGTCACAATTTTGCCTGCCCAACATTGAAGCGTTAGCGCCGGACCCCCAACTTGCAGACGGCATCAATCACCACGGGCTTGACACCACGCACCAGACACAAACTCGACTGTAGCCTCTCTGCCGGCGTCCGGAAAGCACACCACCCGCCATGGCAGCAGTGGCAGCCAGGGTCGTCATTGTCGCCTCCGAGAACCCCGTCAAGATCGGGGCGGCGCGCGACGGCTTCTCGCGCATGTTCCCCGGCGTCGCGTTTGACGTGCGAGCCACGAGCGTCCCGTCCGGCGTGCCCGACCAGCCGTCCACGGACCAGGAAACCCTCCAGGGAGCGCTGAACCGGGCTCGCAACGCGCGCGCCGCCGAGCCCAATGCCGACTACTGGGTTGGGCTGGAGGGGGGCGTCGACGACGCTGGGCCGGCGCACCGCGAGCCGCCGATGCAGTCGTTTGCGTGGATTGCCGTCATTGGCAAGGGGGGGGAGGAGGGCAGCCCCGAGCGCGTGGGCAAGGCGAGGACTGCGACGTATTACCTGCCGCGGCAGACGGCCACGTTGTTGCGCGGCGGCATGGAGCTGGGCCACGCCGATGACTTGGTCCATGGACGGACGAATTCCAAGCACAAGAGTGGCTCCGTTGGCATCTTGACGGGTGATGTGGTGAATCGGCAGAGCTACTACTCGGAGGCTGTTGTGTTGGCCCTGATTCCGTTCAGAAACGCCCAGCTCACATTTTGATTTGCGAGAGACGGTGTGAAAAAAAAGATTTGCTTTGGTGTGTGCGGATCAGGCACATCTGAACATGTCCAACACTTGAATCTTCATCTCTCCTCTGAGGAGTGAAGACCAAATTACCTCGACATCTTGACTCATGTCCTCGTCGCCTGTGACTAGAGGGTTCTGGTAAACCACCCTGCTGGCGCTGTGATGATAAATGATTGCCGCTCATGTATCCAATGAATGAATGTGGTTGGTGAGGGTCAAATGGAACATTGAACATGCATGTGGCTCCGTCGACACCAAAGACAGACATCCAGACAAGATTTTGAAGTGAAATACTCAAGGGAGGGAGCACGGACGAGTATCGGATGGCTTCGTCTATCGAATGACAAATGGTCAGTCAGTATGCGGCAATTCCAGATGGATCACGGAGTGGTTATCCCCTGTATCAATTTTTTTTTTTTTTTAAATGTCAAGTCTGGTTCACGGCACTTCCGTCATCTGGGCACGTGGAGGGTATTTTGACGGACGTGATGACCTCTTCATGGCCCCGTCTCGCATCAAACTCCATCAGCCCAAAGCCCATGTTAGCAAACATGTCGGACTGTGGCTCGATTCGGGGGCGCAGCCGGGGGGCCGTGGCTACGTGGCTTGTGTGATTCGTGTTGGTCAATGTTGGGCTTGTCGTCACGGCGTGCCCTTGATGGGATGCGCGCCAGGCAGCAGGCGGGAATCAATGTACGTGTTTATGCATGCGCCAAGGACGCGCGGCAGTGCAGGTCATGAAGGTTCAATGTTGCAATATATTAATATAACGTGGCAACAAGAGCGATTGGAAAGGGCCAACGAAAAGTGCCAAAGTGACATGGAGAGAAGCGCATTGAGGGTGTGATTCCCGGAATTGGGGTCAATCTTTTGACCTCAATTTCAACGCACAATTCAGCATAATATGGACGCTAGACTTAAATTAGCTGGATGTAACACATAAATTTAAGTAAAGACCTAATATTTTACATAAACCTCCATTTATCCCTACTTATAATATACTAAGCTAATAGGGGTAGCTTTAATACCTGTAAAAGGCTTAATTATTAAGATTTACGTGAAATCTTTTAAAAATTCTTCGTTAAAAATGTTAATAGTAGCTTCACGTTAATTTCTGCTTATTAAGGTAACTAATATTCTTCTTTAATTAAAATAAGCTTATTAATTAGCTTAAATAACCTTTTAATATTAACTTTTTTAATTAATAATAATAGTAATAATAATTTAAGGCTTGCGATATGTACTATAGCGTTTTATAAGGTGTTTTTTACACCTAAGAATGTAACGCGCACACGGAGTTACCTGTGAAGAGGGACCGAATCGGGTTCGCTTATATCCTAAAACGGGGTATAAATCCCCACTAATTCTAGTTTAAATCCTATAAGTATTATTACGTAAGAAGTAAGTATAAGTTAAAGTTAAAACCCTTAATTCT